ACAAAAAAATACACAGAGATATAATTGCACACACATACAAGAATGCCTGATGAATAACGGATGAGCAGTGTTGCAGCGCCAATCACAGAACTCATTTAGAAAGACAACACTCACCACTAAATGTCCCCTTGTCAGAATGGATTGCGTCTCTTCAGGGACCACCAATCACAGATGCAGATTTGTGGAAACCTGGGCGGGAGGGGGGGTGTTGAACAGTGAAAGGTTTGTACCACTTTCTTGAATAAGGTAACAGGTATCTTCCAAAGTTAACAGACATGACTCCAACTGGACTCCTCCTTTTATCCCCACCCTGGGAAATGTGACTTTGTCTTCTCTCATTAAGCGGTGGGAATAAGACATATTAGGATACTCAAATTTATGTTTCATGTGTATGTATATATTCAGATGACTCCTGATTTACAGTGATTTGACATCCAATTCTTCAAACTCATTGGTTCAAAGGTAATATGCGTTCAGTAGAAATTGTAGCTCATATAGTGAACTTTAGCCTTCTGTGGACTGAAGCTCGCAGTCAGCCCCCTGATCACCAGGGGAAAGACCTGATCCTCTGCAGTGCACTGGGTGCTGTTCTAGCGCGTTCCATAGCTGAGCTGTAATAAGCGCATCTTTGACTTACAATAGTTTCACACATTTAGTAGGACATAACTTAATTGTATCAAGCAGTTACTATGTGTGTAGTCAATTCTATGATGGAGAAAAAAATTGATGAAATAAAAACAGTCCAAAAATTGGAACAGTGAAGGAATAAAGGCAAATTTGACACCAACCAGTGCCATCAGAGCATAATGAAGAGTATGCTGGGTTCCATTACAAGGGCATTCCATGGTTTGTGTATGCTCTGGAAGAAAAGAAAGCATGGAGACTATCAGTAAGGAAAAGTGACGAAAAGGGAGCTAGAGTGGGCAAGCACTACCCATGTTCAAATGAATGAACAGCCCAAGCGCGAGCTGCACAGACCCAGTTAGCTTGGAGGTAGGAAATCTCCAAGGACAACCTCTGAGCTGGCACGTCCCTCCCCTAAGAGACTAGGAGCCGAGACGCAAGGCTCGGGGTGTGACGACGCCTCTAACCTGGGCAGCACCATGGAGCTGCTCTTCTCCACTCTTCTCAACACCCGTTGGAGCAAATGACTGCGCTTAGGGATTAGAACCGGCACCCACATGGGATCCCAGTGCACGCGAGGCGAGGAATTAAGCCAGCAGGCCACCATGCCAGGCCCATGGGTGTGGGCAGCTTAACCCCTGAGCTAAGCAATCCCTCCAGCTCACAGTTTTGTGACTCGCACGCAGCTCTGAAGTTTGCTTGCACTTCTGCTACAGGGGTGGAAGTGATGAAAGGACTGGGAGGGTGGGAGGAAGAGGTGCTCCTTTGGATGGTTTCCTAACACAAAGCCTAAATGTTTGCTGAGCCAGACGAGTACCAGATAGAGAAGAGGTTGGAAAGGGGCAGAGAGGAAGATTAACAGCACACCTTGTCCAGGCAGGGAGCCTTCCCCGAGCCCAGAGCCCTGCCCCACACTAGAATACGCACCGGATTTTCCAGCCCTTCGAGCAAGCTGGCTGTCCTGGCTTTGTTCACGCAGCTTTGAATTCAGTGCTGATAACAAGTGTTAGTTGGTTTTAACAAAGCACAGCCAGGAATGTGTTCAACAACAGAATCAGCACGCATCTCCAGGCTGAAATCCACTCGCCCTGAAAGCCTTCTGCTTCCAGAAAACTCTGTTAGAAACTGCACGCCCACCATGCCCAGCGGCCCAGGAAGCATGTGTCCATGTGCTCAGGAGGAAATGGCATCGACATCAAGCAGACAAGCAGGTTGATTGTGCACGGCAGTCAAGGTTGCCGCTGCATGCTTAGTCAACTTCGGTGGACTGTCACATTGCCAGTGTGTAGCCAGTCAACATGGGGAAGGGACCGAGAACTGAGAACGAAATGCCTTTGCGGTTGAAAGCCAGTGGGTACCTACCTGGGCTGTGTGCCAGAGGGCTACCTGTTCACCTGCTTCCACCTGAGCTGGTTAGCAGACACTCTGCAGCGTGCCACTACTGCCTTGCTGACCGCTGACCGCACTGAAGCCGGCTAATGCAGGGATTCCTCTCAAGTCTTCAAGCTGTGGCTGCCTGCAGGGACAAGGAAGCTGGGAGTCTCTTTGCAGTCTCCCTCCTGTGGCCACTTGGAGGAACTTCAGCTTCCCTAAGGGTTCCACACAATCTTACTCAACATTTCACCTGCTACAATACATCAGCTCTCCTACGAAAAAGTCCCCTAAAAGTCCCCAGATTTCCTCTCACCTTCCTCTGTTCAGGTTATTAAAAACCCATGAAGGCCACAGAAAGCAGGGTTTATTTGACAAACTACCTAAGCTTCTGATGGGGACCTGGGGTGATCCTTTGGAGCCAAACCAGACCAGGTCCTGCTTCCAAACTTCTTCATTTTAACAACCCATAAATCCTTCTTGTTGGTCTGGTTGATGTTTTAGCCAGTTTGCATCAAGTTTTCTATCTACCGTGAGACCAACAAACTCCTAATTGATGGTTTGGTTTGCCCGAAATCCACAGGAGGCTTGCCTGGGGAAGACACTCGTTGACTCTTCATAATGTGCCACTGAGACACTGCTGGCCAGAGTCTTAATTCATGCCAATCTCCTTAAAAATGTTTGCATTTGCCCAGGATCTCAGTGCACCCTTGGGCCACTGTGCTGCAGCTGGTGGAGCCTCCAACTGAAACGCTGGCATCCCACATGGGCTCTGGGTCCAGTCCTGGCTGCTCCACTTCCCATCTGGTTCCCTGCTAATGCACCTGGCAAAGCAATGCCTGAGAAAATGCTTGGGAACCTGCCACCCATGTGGGAGACCCACATGCAGTTCCAGGTCTCTGGCTTCAGCCCAGCCCAACCATTGTGGAGTGAATAAGCACATAGAAGATTCTCTCTCTCTCTCTCTTTATCTCCTCTGCCTTTCAAATAATTAATCTTTTTTTTAAAAAAAGCATCCAAATCTAAAAGTATTTCCCCCGTGTGTTTGAGAATGGAACATTTGCCACTTGAGGCTGTGAACTTGCTCATCCAGTGTTTCCTAAGAATGCCTGAAGTTCCGTGCGGCATCCCTGGCTTTCGCACCTGAAGAAACGGTGAACATTGAGTTGGAGGAAGGGAGCCAAGGGTTGGATTCACTTCCCGCTGCCTCCCCCTCTCCTGGATGAGCTCATCCATGTCCCCCGAGAATGACCCATATCACTTCTTACATTCCTTCGCTTTCAACTTCAACTTTCATTTCTCAGGCATTTAAGATGGCTTTGGCTTTTTACCTGGCGAGAGAGCAACCAGTTTTATATTTCTCGTGGGACCGATTCTGCCGAGCGGGAGCCATCAGAGGCGACTTTAAGTCTCAGTTGTTATAGAGCATCTTTCAGAGTTATCATTGGACTCCGTGGCTCATGAGCCAGTGATTAGATTGAAGGTATGTGCTGCCAGATGTCTATACTTCTAAATATATTGAGAGAGAAACAAGTTTGATTGGACAGGGAAGGAATATTCTACAAATTGAATTCCCTCTACGCTGGGCAGGAGATTCCTGTCCTTTCCTCTTCTACCAAAAAGCACATTTTCCCAGAATATGATTCATATTCTCAAAATATTTTTGTTATTCCTAGGGTTTGTGGACCATATGAAGATACTTCCAAAAGCTTGTGGAAGTTGGAATTGAAAGATAAATTTATTTTGATGCCAAAAATTGGAACTTCATGAATTCAATCTATTTTTAAAATTCTGGGGAAAAAAAAAACTTGTGATCAAAACAGTGCACATGGATTTCAAATTTTTCCGCCACATTAAACCTATCTTTTTATTCTGTTTTCTAAATATCCTCCAAATGTGTTCTTTTGGCACATCTCTGCTCATGTCTTAGCGTGGTGCTTTGGGATGGATGGTAGGCAGGTTGTTAAAGTGCTGGTGGAAAACTAGCAACAAATCACGTCTCCTGCTGCAACAAATATTTTGTATTATGCTTTTAATGGAACTTGAACCCAATGCTTAGGAAGTGCACTGCATGGCACAGAGGATGAGAGCACCACCTGCCCAGCATCCCGCATCAGCGCACCTGTTTCAGTGCCAGCTGCTCTGCTTCCAGCCCAGCTCCCTGCTGATGTGCCTGGGAAACCTCTGGTAGGTGTTTGCGTCCCTGTGCTTCCATGGGAGATGTGATTCTGGGCTCCTGGCTTTGGCCTGGCCTGACCCCAGCTGTGGCAGGCATTTGGGAACCAAGAGATGAGATTTCTCTCTCTTACATATGTCAACCGAAGCAGGATAAATATTTTACTAAAAAGAGCAGGATATTTAAAGAACTTCAAGATGTCTCCCTGTAAAGTACTCATGCATTACAGAGTCAGGGGGCATGAACAGGACAAAAGGTTCATCAAAGACACCTGGTTAACATCCTTGCCAGGAAGATAGACAGACATCCCCAACCCCTGCTGGAAGGCACATGGGACTGGCTTCCCCGTAACTGTGTGGGGGCAGGCCTTCAGGTCACCAGCTGGGATGCCCATATCCCATGCTTATGGCCCGGGAAAGCAGTAAAAGACGGCCCAAGTCCTTGGGCCCCTGTACCCACACAGAAGACCCAGAAGAAACTCCAGACTCCTGGCTTCAAACTAGCCTGAGATCGGATGTTACAGCTTTGTGGGAAATGAAGCAGCAGATAGCAGATCTCCCTGTCTCTCCTCTCTGCAAATCTGCCTTTCAAATAAAAATAAATAAATAAATAAATAAATAGAAACAAAGTAAACATTTATGTGTATATATAAGCATATGTATGTAAAACACTGGAGCAGCTGGAACACAGACTGGCACCCATATGGGATCCCGGCGTGTGCAAGGTGAGGACTTTGGCCACTAGGCTATCATGTCCTCCTCCTCTCCATCATAGTTTAAAAAGGAATCACCTGTCTCAAACACAGGCAGAGAAACTCACAGACACGGGCTGAGATGTCTGAGGATTTTAATGTTCGTCACAAAGTCAACATCAAACACAAGGGATACACAGCAGGGCAAGGACTTCAGCAAAGATCTTGTGTAAGTCACAGCCTCACCCCGTGCAGAAACTACACCACAATAGGCCAGCCAACCAAGGAGAGGGCTGTTAGACAGACTTTTAGCTTAACAGCATCGTCTAAAACAAAGAACAAACCAATCAACCTTTCCTCCCACCCACCAACAGGAGAATAAAAGTGATTCGTGAAACGTGTGCATCTTGCTCACAGAGCAGCCTGACGAGGGACAGGGGAAAGGATGAAGAGCACCCTGGCTGTTGCAAGCATGATGCACCAACGAAACAGACCCAGCATTGAACAAACCGTAAAAGTCACGACACTAGCAGGGAGAACCGTTGTGATGAGAAGTGTAACAGCACAGATAGAAACTTTGCAGTATTAAAAAACAGATGCTGCTGTCTAAACGTGGACATACAAAGGTTGTCATTTTTGTCTGTGAAAACAACAGCATCAAAAAAGAGCTGTAGCCGCGTATCTTGTCCACAACTCTCAAGTGTCTGCAAAATGGTCAGTGTTGATCTTAATCCCCAGGTGCAGAATCCAGGGGCCCCTGGCTCTGCAGAAGCATCTGGAAGGCCTCTCCACGCTGGGCATTCACAGGCCTCCAGACACAGTGAACTGCCACCTCAGAACTAGGCCCACGGGCAAGTCCAGGTATTAAAATCCAGTGAGGAAAAAGTAACAGCAAAGACCAGGGAAGCTGGAATGTGTTAGAAAGCAACAACAGAGAGATTGAAGAGTCATTCCAGTTTAGATCAGGATCCACGTGACCAACAGCCTGTGCTCCCAGCAGGGTGGCAGGGCTGAGGAGGCTGCGTGGGTGCTTTTGGGAGAAAAGGAGAACCTACAACAAGCGTAGTCATTGTTAGTACAAAGTTCGGTGGGCATTCCCCAGCTGCTCTCTGTTTTCTGCAGGGTCGGGTCAGAAGATATGCTGAGCAGGCTGTGTTCACAGCTGATGCATCTCTAGAAAGTTTCTCATGAAGGCTGCGAGCTTCTGAACATCTTCAACCGTCACAGCATTGTACAGAGAGACCCGGATGCCTCCCACGCTCCTGCAACAACCAGGCACACAGACGTTAGAAGGCAAAAGCGTACACGTTAGCATCAGAACAAGCATCTCAAGTCACCTGCAGGGGTGACGCCTGACATCACACTGGCCGACTTCGCACCTGTACCCCCTCCTGGGGCTTCCTGGGTCTCTGTCAGTGGGAAAGGTCCCCCCCAACCCCTCCCAGGGAAGACCCTGGCAAAGGGAAGAAGGTAAGCGAGACAAAGGGTGATGTCGCTCGGGGACCTGCCCCGCAGGGCAGCGGCCCCAGCAATGGCGTTCATAAACTGTTCCAGAGTGACTGATAGCCATCCTAACCCTGCATCAGAGAAGTAGGTGCAAACTGGAAAGGTGCTCATCTGTCCTCCAGCCAGGGAGACTGCTTCCGGCCCCATCAACAGGTAGCAGGAAGGCAGAGGCCACAGCCAGTGGGCTGCTCTCCCCAGGTCACACGACAGCTGCTCCAAACTGAGTGGGCTCCCCAACGCCACGAGAGAAGACCAAAGCCAGCTCCCGGCATGCTTTGGGCCGGCCCTGCGCTCACCTGTGCCCTTTCAGGGAGAGCATGTTCAGCTCAAGGGTTTTATCGAGGAACCGTTTCTCTAAAGCTTCGTCCCCCTTGGCATTGCCGATGCGGAATGGAATATTCATCATGCTTCTGTTTCGGGGCTCCACTGGGCAGCTGAAAAACACGTTTTTTCTATTTCAGCTGTTTGGACTGTCATTAGCAGGGCTTCTGCTTGACTTATATGCCTTTCCTACATTTGCAGACAACATTAATATATACAAATATGCAACATCTAACCTGGACAGTTACAAATAACTGAAAAAGAGATCAGCTTCTTCCTCATGCAACAGAACCATGAGTGTGTTCTTGTATGACTTAGCTTCCACAAGCCTTGGTTTGTTCATCTCAAGACTGGGAACAGAAACAATCACCAGTTGTGGTACGTCCTAGGTACAATATAAACGATGTTTTCAATACATATCCGGCATGCAGAAAGTGTGAATGAGACATTGTCTGGAAAGCTACAAAGAGATTCAGCAGCTTTGGAAGGACTGGTCATCCTGTGTTGTTCCAAGCTGTGTGACCCTCAGAAGCTACTGTGCCTCATCTTCCTCATTCGAGCAGTGGGAATCATGGAACCCGACTCAGGCTGTTTAGGAAGACTCAGCAAGTCAGAACATGCAGAGAAATTTCCACGGCAGGTGAAGAAATCTAAGACTTATTTATTTGAAAGGCAGACTCACAAAGTGTCAGGGGAGAAAGTTGTCTTCCACCTGCTGGTTCACTCCCTGAATAGCTACAAGAAGCCAGGCTGGCCCAGACGGAAGTCAGAAGCCAGGAATTCCATCCTGGTCTCCCACATGGATGGTGAGGGCTCAAGGATTTATGCTACCTCTTAGCTGCTTTCCCAAGCACGTCAGCAGGCAGCTGGACTGGAAGCAGAGCAACCAGGACTCAAAATGGCATACCAACATGGGACGTCACTTCACCTGCTGTGCCACGCCAGTCCTCAGTTCTTCACTTTTTGAAGCCGGCTGGTCTTGTGACTTGCTTTGGCCAGGAGGTTGCAACAGAAGGGACTGTGAAATTTCTAAGCTTAGGCCAAGAGGTTAAGCAGCTGCTTGAACAGGAAAAAGGACATTGCTCTAAAGCATTAAGTCTTGGGGTGTTCTGTGACACAAAATAGATACCTGATACAATTCAGGGGCATGGTGTGGCAGGGTGGGTTAGCCTACCACCTGTGATGCCAGTATCCCATTGGGGCACCACTTTGAGTCCCAGCTCCTCTACTTTTGATCCAGACCCAAGCTGGAGTGCCTGAGAAAACCAACATGCCCAAACCCTTGCCTTGCATGTGAGAGACCCAGATGGAGTTTCAGACTGTGGCCTGGCTCAGCCCTTGCCATTGTGGCCATTTGGGGAGTGAAACAGCAGGTGTAGGATCTCTTTTCTATCCTCTCTCTGTCTCTCCTTCTATCTCTGTAACTCTGACTTTTCAAGTAATTAAATACACCTTTTAAAAGAGAGAGATTTAAAGCTCTCTGGAACATGTTAAATGCTACATTAATATTCAATGAATTCAACAAATTTACCTTTTTATTCCCAGCTCCTTACATTAAGACACATACAGACTCACAAAAAGGAATGTGTGTTGTCTATGAGTATTTGATTTCACAGGAAAGTAACCAGCCAATATTATGTCCCACTGACAATGGAAGGAGATAAATGGAAAAAGAGTTGCCAAGTTACTCTGGAAAGTACAACATGTCATAAAGCTGCCTCCTCCCTGCCCTTGCTGAAGTACATCCTATTCCACTTCCACTTCACAGGCTGGCATTCGTTAAAGTTAAACAGCAAATAAAAGCAGTGTGAGAAACCCCCCGAGGGCACAATCATAATTCCTGTTAGAGTTAACAGGAGTCCAGTGCACAACTTCAGGCAGAAAACCAGGCAGGACACAGTGGCAAACACACAGAGCAGGCTCTGAATCTGTGTTTTTCCCGCATCCCCACTCTCCCATCCTCAGCCCCATTCATAAGGCAGTCAGTGTCATGGCCAGTGTTCAAATCCAACACTCACTGGCTACCCTCTTCTCAGTTCTGCCACCTTGAGCTCCCAAGGTGGAGATTCAAAAAGGTAGATCATTAAAAGCGTATTTCATTTAAAAAAAAAAACAATTACGATTCATACTTCATCCACTCTCACATTTACCAATCCTTCCCTGCTGGTGGGTGAGGTCCTGGATCAATCATTAAATGAAAGACACTGAAGATCAACATGTGTACCTAGTCGCCCAGCAGGATGGGGCTGCAGGAGGGGTGGGGAGAGAGATTATGGAGAATTAGCTGATCCCAGTCTAGCAAGAGATGGCCCTGCAGGCAGCCACAACTCCACGTGACAGCAAACAGCTGGGGAGCAGCAGAGGCTGAGCCACTAACTGTCAGGAGAAGGCTGGCAGCTTCCAGAACAGGGATATGGGAGTTGGGCAGCCCAAAGAACGGGGCGCCATGGCAGGGAACTCTGTCTGCCAAGACACGGGGATCGGCTGGACACGCTCTGCTGGGATTCGCACTGGATCCTGGAACAACGAGGAGCAGGTCTGCACAGTGATATGAGATCTGCATTTTGGAAAAAGAACCACATGGGCTGGCGTGATGCAGGGGGTTAAGCCATTGCTTGTGATGCTGGCATTTTGTTCAAGTCCAGGCTACTCCACTTTTCATCCAGCCCCCTGCTTAAGTGCCTGGGAGGCCAGGATGGAGTACGTGGCTCTTGGCTGTAGGACTTCACCCTGGCCTAGTCCTGGCTTTTGCAGTCATTTGGGCAGTAAATGGAAACTCCCTCTCTCTTGTCTGTCCATATTTGTCTTTCTGCTTTTCAAACAAAATGAAAAAAAAGTAATAATTTTTTAATGAAAGAAATTTTAAGCTTATTTTTGAGCTTAAATTCATATACTCTGCTGTTTAGACTGTGTCTGTTCCTCAACATATTTGTATTTAAAATTGTTCAGCCCTCCTTCTGCATTAACTTGCGCAGACTAAGACGTGTGTTGGTTGCTGGATGTGTTTTCATTCTGGTGGCTCTTACGAATGTATTGCTCTGTCCTCATTACAGTCTCTTACTTCTGCATTGTGGCACGGCAATGCACCCTAACATGCCCCACACTCAGGGATCACAGCTTGGTTGGGTGGATCTTGAGTTGTTCCGTGAGCTCCTGTGCCTTTTCGACAAACATCTACCTACAAATGAGGAAACCAAAGCCTCGCAAGTCATTTACCCAAGGTCATATGCTAATGAGCTTCTAAGTCCAAGAGGCCATGGTACACAGCCCACAGGAGGTCCGTGGGGTTCCTCCAGGGCCAGGGTATATGACCCACAGGAGCTCCACGAGGGTCCTCCAGGGCCATTGCAGTGATAGTTAGGCCCAGGAAGTAAGTGAAGCCCCACTGGGTGCCTCATGATGGTCCTGTCTGGTCTTAGAATTTTCTGCTGGAGTCCCTGGCAGGGCTGGTGCCACCCTGGAACACTGTCCAGTACTGTGCTCCATGAAAGGGCTACCTTACACATCATGGGACACAGAAGGGGTACCTGTCACAGGAGAACACAGGAGCCAGATCAGGCATTGGGAACACTCGCATCCCATATTGAGTGTCCCGGCTCTCAGGGAGGAAGATGCAGGAGATGGCCGGCATTCCTGCCAGGTTTTCCCATTTTGTGCATAACTTCCCGGATTTTTCCCCCAGAGGTATGATCAGGCTTCCTGTCCCCCAGCAAGGACAGAAGGACAGATGCATGAATGCGTGGGTGGATGGAGGCGCACATGAGTAGGAACCAATGAATGAACGAACAGGTGAATTAAACAAACCTGTAGTTCTTTCCAGATTTGCCTTCTGACTCAGTACAAATCATCCTCACCTCACGGCCCATCTTCTGCTCCTTAAATACAACTTACTTTCTTCCCTTGGTGCCCTTCTTGGGTTATTCTCGGCCTTCCTAAAAGCTCCTAAAAATACTTTTGCCCTTTGCCTAATTCAACTCACATTCAAGGCTCGAACTCAAACAAAAACCCTCTTTTCCCCCTCCTTCCAAACAGTATCTCACTGTTCCATGCTCACCCCACATTCTCTGGCCATGGCTCTGGGCTCTGTGGGTGATGTGGTCCTGGTTATGCACGCTCAAGTGGCCCAGCAAGCATTGATGGGGTGTTTTACTTCCCCGTCACACATCAGGGTTCGGGAAGGTTCCTCAGGACTGAATCCCTCTGTTGTACAGCACCCCAAAGCAGACAGTAACACACAGCACACAGCCCTTCACCCAGAGAGCCTGGCAGGAGAGGAGCCCAAAGGCCGAGGCATGCGGCCAAGCCCATGTCCTCCAAGGCCCGTGGGGCTGCAGAGCCAGTATGTGCCAAGAGCTCACGGCAGCAGACAGCAAGCAAACATTGTCAGGGCAGAAGTAGCAGTGGCAAATGGCTTCTTTCAGGCTGTCCAAAAAATTACACTTCAGCCCTCAGCCATAGATGGAGCTACGCTAGCTGGCAAGCCCTGGCTAAAATGCATGGATTAACGGTGTTTTCTATTGCACGTAGCCCATGGAATTCTTGGAGTGTGAGTACTCTCGTGACTGCCAGGAGCAGAATAATGACCATTATGAATGGGGGTCCTGACTCGCTGAGGACGAACTTACACATGTGTGACTATACACACATACGCACATCCACCTGGGCACAGACACGGCATTCAGCCTGGCATGTGGACACCTGTCCCCACACAGAGGGCAAGAGAACAACAAGGATGTCATCGCTCTGCTTGCAGGCAGCCCAGGTACACACCGGGTGCTTCACGTGCAGCACTCAGGCGAGCAGCCGGCTGTGCTGCCTGGAGTCATGGCCCACACGGCACATCCTAACTTCAGGGTCTGCGAATGTAACTGCCTGGGGTGCGGGTGGAAGGGTTCAGAGGTCAGTTTTGCGACATAGCAAGTTAAGCCACTGTTTGCAAGGCCTCATAATACAGGGCCTATTTGAGTTCAAGCCATTCCACTTCCGATCCAGCTTGCGACTAATGCTCATATGTTTAGGCCCTTTCCACACACATGGGAGGCCCGGATGGAATTCCAGGCTCCCCATCTCAGCCTGGACCAGTCCCAGACACTGCAGCCATTTGGGAAGTGAACCAGCAGATACAAAAAAAAAAAGTGTCCCTCTCTCTCTTCCTTTGTCATTCTACCTCTCACACAAATAAATCTTTACACACATGAAGGAAAGAACTGAAAATTGGCCTTTGCAGATGTAATTACGAAAAGGATCTCAAGAGGAGATCATCCTAGATTATCTGGAGGACCTAGTTAATCTGTCCCTAAGGATACACACAGAAAGAAGGGCAGGCCAGGGACCAAGAACTCAGAGCCATCAGAAGCCAGCCGGCGGGAAGAACATCTTCCCTAAGGGTTCTGCAGAGGGACAGCCCATGCACACCTTGATCCCCACTTCTGACATTTTGGGAACAGAAAGAGTTAAGTTTTATGGTTGTGATCCACCACATTTTGCTAATATGGCAGCCCTAAAAAATTAATGCAAAACCCCTGTATATTCCAGGGCCCTCACAATGCCGCTCTGCTGGTGGAGACCTGTCCATTGGGCACATGATCATGAAAGCATTCAAGCACAGCCATCCTGGGCTGGAACCAGCTCCATCTGCAGACGTCTTGGGGGCACCTGTTCTGCAGGAGGGAGGCAGGGCTGGGGTGCAGGAGGAAGAGGGCACCCCACTGCATGGAGCACAAGACCACTCACCCTTACCAGTACGATAGCATTACAGAGAAGAGTGAATACCCACTTTCACTGATATGCAGTATATACAGTTTTAAATTCACAAAAGATGTGAGATGAAATTCTTCAACTTACACATAGAATCCTTGTGAATTATCAATAATCTCATAAATCATTTGAGACTTGATGGTGTTGAGCTTCTTCATGGCCGCTGCCCCACCATTGTTCTTAATCCACTCCAGCACCAAGCCCACGACGTAGATGCTACAACGAAGATTCGAGTGACATGTCCATAATTTGGATATACAAATGGAGACAGGACAAACACACTGTAATTTACCCCGCACACTGTACAATGAAGACTGTAAAATAAAGTTTTGCACAGTCCCAACTTTGCCAAAGTGGACAAGCTGATTGCCTCACTGCACTGAAACACACTTCCTAGCTAGGTTAGAAACAGACAAAGCAGGTCCCTCCCATGTCAGCAAAGCATGTGATGAAACAGACTGGGGTCAACTCAGTTCCAGAACTCTGGGGACCATTCATAGCAATAGGCTCAGGGAGCAGTGTGGTAGCACATAGGGTCAAGCCACTGTTACAACACCAGCATCCCACATGAGTGCCTGTCAAGTCCCAACTGCTCCACTTCCAAACCAGCTCCCTGGGGAAGCAATGAAAGATGCATGCTACACCTGGGGAAGCAATGAATGATGGCTGAAGTGCTTGGGCCCCTGCACTCAGCTAGGAGACCCAGAGAGAGTTCCAGCTAGTCCTGGCTTCAGCCTGGCCAACTCCCACTGTTGCAGTCACGCACGGAGTGAACCAGCAGATGAAAAACACTCATTCTCCCTCTCTCTTCCTCTCTCTCTAACTTTACCTTTCAAGTAAGTAATTATTTAAAGATTAAATAGAAGAACAATTTTGGGAAAAACACCTCACCAGACACACAGCCATGAGTCCTTCCCCATCTCAGACCCCAGTACTCACGCCTCAGGACATCAGGATACACCTGCCCAGCCCCTCAAAAAGATGTCATCTGGCCCTACCTTCCCAACCCCTTGCAGATTTGCCTCTTCACCCTTGAAGTCCCCAAGAGTCCCTGTCCACGCTAACCCATGTAGAACCCAAGGTTTCTACAGACTTTCGAACAAAAATAAAACGACAGTACATTTTCAACCTTGAATCCTTTTCATGGTGGCATGCAAAGGTTTGCATCCTTCTGGGCATCTCCAGGCCCTGCAGCCTTGCGGGCACAGGCCCGGGTGGGGACAGCACACAGAGCTTTGAGTCTCCACGCAAAAGCTTCTCACCAGCTGACCCTCACAGATGAACGCACGGATCTGTGCTGGTACTGTAATCAAACACAACTTTTCTCCTTTTCTTTCAGCAAAGCAACCTCCGGGGGTCTCCTGGCATCAGGATGCACGGACCCCATGGCCTTCCATCTTCTGCTCATCAATTCACAAACAATGCTGCCCAGAGCTGATCTCAGGCATCACAATATCCGTGCATCTTGGAACGAAACTGCTGTGGCTTTGTCTGTCTTCATTTCTAGCTCAGCCCATCCTCAGGTAGGGATGCTTCCTGCCTCTCCCTACCCATGTTTCCAGCCCTGTGGGGCCAGCTGCCAGGTCCGGGTCTGCACAGGGACTTGCCAAAATCACCATGTAAGTTACCTTTCTAATCTCCCATTAGACACACTGGTCTGCTTTCTCACTGGTCCCACAAATAGGTTCTTACCCTAACAATAACAAATACCAATTGATGTATCAGGATGTGCCACCCTGTGTCGGAATGCTGGCTTCGGACCTAGCTGTTATGTTTGCGATCCAGTTTCCCTCTAATAATGTGTCTGGGAAAGCAGTGGCTCATGGCCAAAATACCTGGGCCCCTGCCACCCATGTGGGAAGCCAGGGTGGGGATTCTGGCTCCTGGCTTTGGCTCGGTCCAATCCCAGCTACTGTAGCCATTGAAGAGTAAACCAACAGATGAAAGATTTCTGTTTCAATTACTTGGGTTTGCTTTTCCCAAGACAAAATCATTCCCACACAACAGAGCCAAGACAATCATCCTGTTTGTGCAGAGCACTGAGGTTGGACCTGCCCGTGAACCAGGGCAGACTGCCTGGCTTCCAGTCCCCACAAGACCACTGTCTAAAACATGACCTTGGCCTCCTCACTTGCAAAATGGGCAGAAGTCCAGCAACAGTGTCCACCTCCTCGGTGGCCAGGAGCACGAAGGCAACCTATGCTTAAAGGATCTCAGTTTTACATCCCAGCTGCCCTAGTAAATAAACCCTGCATCGGCCCCTCCCAAGGGGTGGCCAGGAACCAGCGGCAGCCATGGAAATCAAGCAGTGTTGAAGTACCAAGTGCCAGGGACTCACAAAGTACAACCAACACACACACACACTATACATTTTATAAGTCTGTCCCCTCCAACACTTGATATTTATTCCTGGCGCTAAGTAGGAAGAGGCCAGGGAGGTAACTAGAATGTGGTGTTTTAAGATGCAGCCTCCGGGAAGCTTTCAGGACAGACAAGGTCACGAGGATGCTGACATGTGACTGCTTCCTCCAGGGGATCTGTAAGAATGAGGAGAGACCAGGACCCAAGGGCAAGCCCCCGTCTCCGGACGTGCAACGCTCTGTGCCTCCACAGAACTCTGCCACCCTGACTAACCCCAGGCATGCCCATTGACCTTGGACCAGAACCTTGGGCTAAAATATACTTTCCTGAGAAAGCAACCCTTCCTCAGATACTTCCTTACCACATGATACAGACACATACACAGCCTGCATCTCGACTTGCCTAAATCTCACGGCAACCCAGGGAGGAGGGTATTATTACAACTCCAAAAGGAACCTACCACACAGAAGAGGTAAAGCGACTCGTCTAGGACCACACAGCTTGTAGGCAGGAGGACATTTAGGCAACTACTGAATTCTAGATATCGTAAAGACTTCCCAGAACACTTGCACGCGGGAAGTGAGTGACCCCAGGAAACTCACAGAGCAAGCTCCCTGCCCTCACTGTACGTGTTACAAGGAAGGCACCCTCCTGCCCAGCTACCGAAATCCCGGGCCTCTGCAGATCAGGTTAAACAAGAGAAGACAAAAATGGAAAGGCGTTCCAGGCTAGTGTGTTTGCAGCCAGCCAGCGAAGCAGACAAAGGCGGGGAGGCCCAGCGTTTGTAAGCCCTTCCTCCCAAGCGGCCTGCATGCTTGCGATGCAGGCCACGGCTCTTCAGCTGCAGAGGACTCTGAGGTTAAAGGAAAACCAGGAGGGCCTGGACTACATGGGCGCAAACGCAGACTAAGACATGCCCTCCCTCCCACTGCCAGTGAAGGGTAAAGGACAAGAAAAAGTCTCGCAGAGGGCAGAGGGCTAAAAGAGAAAGATGAGCAGGGCAGAGGATCCCGGCAGGACGTGTGGGCAAGCAGATCAGCAGCTCGAGAACACGCTGGAGAAAGCCCCGTGCACTTGCACGAGGAACTGGCCACCGGGCTGGGGCCCACCGTTACCTGAAACACGGGGGTGTGTTGTACAAGGAGCCGCTGGCCACCTGCACTTTGTACTCCAGGATGGAGGGGCACTCCGGGAGGGCGAATCCCAGCAGGTCATCACGCACAATCACCACCGTGACCCCCGCAGGGCCCACGTTCTTCTGGGCGCCGGCAAAAATCACACCGAACTGAGAACAGGAAAGACAGGACACTGTAGAAACCACGGGGCATTCTTCATTGGCCAACCTCCCGGCCTCTCTTGCAAGTACGAGTTACTCTGTGCCTGCACAGGCGGCCTGCCCCGTTCCGCAAGCGCCTCCCTCTGGGGCTGTGCAGGTGCGGAGGGCCAGCCTGGGGACCTCACCCCAGAAGGGCCCTGTACTTACTCCCATCCGCTCTGCCCATCTCCTCTCTACACCCAAACCAGCCTTGGAAATGGCACCTCTAAACATCCTTGGCAGTCAAGAGAAAAAAAAATTTTTACTAATTTTAAATAAGTATAGAAAATTACCAAAAAAATTCAAAACATATTCTGTCCATATCACTTGCATGAAAATAATTTAAAACTAAATACCTGCAACTACCAAAGTTTGCTCTGATTAACATGTTTTTGATTTGTGAATAAAGGGACAATCAGAAGGTGCTGAGAGGGGAAGGAACATGCCACCAGATCAATTTTCAAAAAGCATTTATCTGTGACTTCATCTTCTATTTGGAAGGCAGAGATCCACAGACACACACAGAGTTCTTCCATCCTCTGGTTCTCCCCAAATGCCTATGACAGCCAGGACTGGGTCGGCCCAAAGCCAGGAGCCCCAAACCCGATCTGAGTCTCCCGCATGGGTAGCTGGGACCCAAGGACTCAAGGCAGAGTCCCAATGCCCCGCCCCAAGGTTTGCATGTGCGGGTAGCTGGGATCAGGATGGGCAGCAAGACTTCAATCTAGACTCGGCTATGGGATGCAGTTGTTCCAGGTGGCACCACAGCAGTTGTACCAAGCGCCTGTCCCAGGGACAGAAATGTTTGTAATAGCAGATGCTTCAAGAAAACGTGGGAGGTTTTGCTGTGCAAGACCAGCGCCCTCTTCCTTTCTCTCCTTGAGACCTCGGGCAAAAACCAAACGGTACTGTGCGGGAAGAGTTCACAGCCGGCATTCTTTAGGAAATAATCTAGAAAAGCAGACTGCAATGCAAACGCGATATATCCACACAAGAAAATTATTCTGCCTTTAAAAAAAAAACCTCCAAGAGAGTGACACCGAATGGTATGCTGAGTGCATCGAGCCAGAGACCAAAGGTCAACTATTGCATCACTCCACCTCCAGAAGGCACTTAGTGCTGACACATTCGTGGAAACACAAAGTAGGATAGTGGGTGCTGGGTGCTGAGGTCCTAGGTAGTCAGGCAGTTAGTGCTGGATACGGAGTTCCCACAGAAGATGAATGAAGATGGGATGGTGGGGCTGGGATGCTTCTAGCACCACTGTGCTGTACACTTCAAATGCCCTTTGTGTTATGTATACCTTACCACACCTTTTTAAAAAGATTACAACTTAGTTCAACCATTTGCAAAAAAAAAAAAAAAAATCCATTTTAATAGGGGCCAGCACAATGGCTCAATTGGCTAATCCTCCACCGGCAAGTGCCAGCAGACCATATGGGCTCTGGTTCATGTTCCAGCTGCTCTATTTCCCATGTAGCTCTTTACTTAAGGCCTGGGAAAGCAATGGAGTACGGCCCCCTTGGTACCCAGCACCCATGTGGGAGACCTTGGAGAGGCTTCTGGCTCCTGGCTTCAGCTCAGCTCCAGCCGTTGCAGCCATCACATGGGAGCTCGGTCTCTCTCTTTCCTCTCTGTACATCTGCCTTCCCAATATGAAATATTTGCCATCTACGCCTTTGTGCCATGCACATGCCACCCACTTAGTGAACTGCTCATAGTCTACACCCCTATGGATGTTTTTGAAGCTGGAGTGAGTAGAAGGTGGCAGGAGATTGGGCACCTCCTTCACACAAGTCCTGTGAGCCTGAATAACCTAAATCTGCTCTTAAAGGGGGGAATAAGGAACCCGACATGGTAGCCTACTGGCTAAAGTTCTCACCTTGAACGCGCCAGGATCCCACATGGGCGGGCACTGGTTCTAATCCCGGCAGCCCCGCTTCCCATCCAGCTCCCTTCTTGTGGCCTAAGAAAGCAGTCGAGGACAGCCCAAAGCTTTGGGACCCTGCACCTGTCTGGGAGACCCAGAGGAGGCTCCTGCCTCCTGGCTTCGTATGGGCTCAGCTCAGGCCATTGCAGCCACTCAGGGAGTGAGCTAAGGATGGAAGATCTTCCTTTCTCTCCTCCTATCTGTATAGCTGACTCTCCAATACAAATAATAAAAAGGGGAGGAGAATAAGACACCCCCAGTGTGCTGACTCCCGGGGGTCCATGAGTCAGGACTTCAGCATTTCAATAGTTAGCAACAGGCAATAGTTGGCTCACTGGCAGCTGCCCTGGCCCCAGGACCCCAAGGATCGCACATTCCTTCCTCTTCTTAGTAGTATATCCAAGCAGGTGTTTGGCTCAGCGGCTAAAATGCCACTTGGCATGCCCCACCCCATACCGGGATGCCTGGCTCAAGTCCTGGCTCTGCCATTTCCAATGCAGCTTCCTGTTACTGTGCGCCCTGAGAGGCAGCAGGCGACAGCTCACTTGTTTTTGTCCCACCCGGTCATGGACATGCGTGAGCTGGATGGAGTTCCAGGCTCCCGGCTTGAGTCTACCCCTGTCGTGAGAGGCTGCGAACCAGCAGACGGAACACCTCTCTGTCTCTTTGTCTTCCAAATAAAATGAAATTAAATAAGCAGACAACAAATAAAACAAACCAAAAGAAAAAGAAACACCACCAGGTCCTCCTCCCATCCATCCATCCTCTTCTTAATTTACCTTGGAAACGTCCACTGGCCTGGAGAGGAAATTCGAGGACATGTCACACACGAGGACGGCTCCCTTGACATCAGGTACGAAGTCAAACTCCACGCCATGCACAGTCTCGTTGGCGCAGTAATACACGTAGGAGGCCTCTGGGTTAAGGTTCCACGTGCTCGGATCTGGGATTCCTGTCGCAGAAGACAAGTCTGAGACTGACGTAGGGGGGTTATCCTAGAGGCTGACGCCTCTCCCCCTGCAGTAAGGATTAAAGCACCCCAAAGCAAAAGCACCTGGCCAGCTTCCATCTTACCATCCCTACCATGAGTCAAACATGGCAGTGTGGATATTGGGAATTCCTTTCTCGTCACCTTGCATCCATTGGCCCTACCTTCAGCAGTCTCCTCTGAGGACCCCGGCCCTCCCTCTCAGCTCCTGTGGTTCTAGTGCAGCTCATGCAACCCACACCCCCAGAAGGAGAACGTGACAGGCACCGCCATGGTGACATCTTCTGGTCAAGAACTGTACCATCAATAATCTCCCAGGAAAAAGGGGCAGCTTTCCCTTGACTGTGCATGCCACCGTGCAGGAGGCAGAAAGAAATGCCAGAATCTGAGATCATCAGAACCTGGGGCCAACCCACAACTGAGCCAACCCAGCACTATTCCCCTAAGCAAGCCTGTGAGGACTCCTTTTGCAAAAGCTAGTTAGTAGTCTCAACTAGTACAGCCAGCCACCCCAACTGGTACCAGACTAATGACTAAAGGGGAGGAAGGAAGAGCGGCCCCCTTGCGGGCATTTCCCTCGCCAGCTGAGTGTGTAGCACTCACTTGTGTAACTTCCAAGTTTAGGCAGCACCATATTCACCGTCCCAAACTTCTTGGCTTCTTCGGCCGCCTTCGCTGACCAAACTCCCGTCACCACATAGTCGGCACATCTTCCTGGTTTCAGGCCAATCAGATTGAAGGGGACAGCACTGAACTGACCACACCCACCTCCTTGTAGGAAAATCACCTTGTAATTGTCTGGAACGGCACTGAAGAAAAGAGGCCAGTCAATACACAGACTCCCAAGGTCAAAGACAGAATTGGGATTGATAGATTTACCGCAAGAAACATGGCAGTGTCCCATTCCTGCTGTACTATCAGTAATTCAGTCATGGATCTATTCATTCCTTGGACAACTGAGCCCCAGGCACTGTGGTGGCCTATGGCCACCGTGTAGGCCACCTCCTTCACCTAACAAAAACACCACGATGCCCCTTTTTGGCATCTTCCCACTTCTACTCCCAGTCCACACAGCTCAACCCCAGCCAACCCCAGCTCACACAGATGAAGACATGACCCAAGCTGCCCAGTGCAATGTGGTTCTAAGACCGGGGCTCAAACATTTGGGTACAAGAGACTGTTTCTGCTGAGGGAAAGAACAATCTTGGAGGAGCTCACCCTATAAAAAAAATTTGCCGGGGCCCATAAGATAACACTAAGATGTGAGAAGACAGAGCCCAGAAATGGAAAAGCCTTCATCTGTCTTTTGCTGTTACTCAAGGTCACATGTAGCCTTTGTCGCTTGTGCCGGTGGCTTGGGCTTCTGTCATCCACAGCGCAAACTCTTTTGTGTTAAGCATCATGCTGTGAGCAAGGTGGACATTGTGACATTGTGAGGCCTAGTCATGTAGTCACACGCCTAAATAACATCAAATTCGTAATAAAGTTCTTTGATTGCAGGAGGGAGTCCCAGTTCAGATGGGGATTAGGATGGCTACGGCGATAGAGTAAGACCAGATCCAAGGGGTCTACCCTGGGGACTGGCCACGAGTCTCTGAGTAATCTCAGTGCTCAGGAGCAGGTCACAGGAAGACAGATGGCCAGAGGGACAAAGTTCAAGCCAAAGATACACAAGAGAACTCTGTAAAGGATAGGGCCACTTACACAGGCGGGGGACCCTAATTCTCTTGGAAACCAGCCTACCCTACATGCAGTGCTCAGAGGATCATGCTGCAGCCGAGGGTCGGGAAGGGGGTTACACTTTAACTACACAGTTCTTGGCAGCTGAGAAAGACTGTACTCCAAGGCAGAATTCAATGCTCACGTTATGGTTCACAAGCAGGGCCAATCCTAAGGCCACGAGGGAACCCAGACTTAAGGAAACAAGGCAGGAATCGGGTTAGGAGATAAAAGGATAAGGGCAGGCCAAGAATTAAAAGGGACCCCAGGGCCTGGCACAGTGGCTTAGTGGTTAAATCCTCGCCTTCCACACACCAAGATCAAATGTGAATTGATGACCAGAAACATCTGAAATACTAGTGATGACTTGCTGGGTGGGGCTATCGCTCAGTCTAGATGAATCCCCAAGTCTGGCTTTTCCCTTAGGCATCTGACAGGAATACAGATTCTTGCGCAGGAAAAAAAAAAAATTGGTTGTTAAGGTTACCCTATTCGTGTTTGTATCTGGATATTAAAATACATGTCACCACGCTCCTACAAATGGAGTAGGGGGTACAACTAAGATAAGCTAGGGCGCACCATGTAAGCAGCCATCCCCGAAGCTCAGCACTTGCACCCACAGGGCCTGTCCACACACAGTGAGTGCGAATGCCCGCGGATCAGGACCGAGTGTGGCACAATGCTGCGTTCAAGAAGTGTCATCGCGCCATCACTAACCCGGGACTCCACAGGCAGTTTGAAGTCTACACTCTATGGACAATGGAAGCCAACCTCAATGGCACTGACAAAGTATCATCTTTTCAGTCATTTAACTCCTTTTTGAGCCAGCTTACCTACCACAGCACCGAAAAATCTATCCAAGACACAATGATTTCAAATCTTCGCAAGAATCACAATACACACCCCCCCAAAAAAAACATGCACTAAGTGAAAGATGAATTGCAATTTGCAATATTATGAACAAACAGCAGAGTATAGCAAGGAATGCAACAGACATTCAAAAGTTTATGAAATATCAAACATAAGTAACACAATTAGGTCTTTTGTAAACTTAGAACATTAAACTCACAGCAATTCCCGCACAAGATTCTCTGCGTTGTTAATAATCTTGGCGAAATCAGATGACCTATGACTCATTTCTGCAGAAGAAAAAATAAATAACAACAGTTCAGAACCGAACCAACAGAGCTAACTACAAAATGTGTCAACAAACAGCGAAAAGGACTTTCCTGTATTCACATCCAGGTCTCAGTTCACTTAGCGTAGCGGATGACCCAAACAGACTTTGACTTTACAAACAGAGCCAATAGTCATGGCAGAACGGCTTTCCAAGTGGCACATTCATTTGCTGAACAGGCCACTCACCAGCTCAACTTGAGGTTGACTGTGACTCTGTCACTACCTCTTCCTGACAAACAGCAATCTGGGTACAATGTTGCCCTTTGAGACAAGAACGTGAAATCCCATGCTACTATTTCAATTCATAGAAGCCTAAAAACCCAGTTCATACCCAGATTTAGCAATGAACTCCATGAGCTCTTAACATTACACAACTTTGGGCTGGCTTTAGGGGTAGTGAGTTAAGCTAGCACCTGCAAAAGCAGGATCCCACAGGGCACTGGTTTCAGTCCCCACTGCTCCAGTTCCAATCCAGCTCATTGCTAATGTCCCTGGGAAAGCAGTAGAAGGTGGCCCTAGCACTCAGCTCCTGCTAACCACATGGGGAAATCCAGAAAAGGTTGGCCCAGTCCCAAAGCATTGCAGCCATTTGAAGAACTGAACCAGCTGATGGAAGACCAGCCCTATGCACCCCACCCCCGCCATCTTCCCTCTCTCTGCCTTTCAAACATGTAAATCCTTTTTAGATATTTGATTTGAACTAGTGCCTGTATGATGCTGGTACTACAAGCAGTAGCTCAACCTGGGATCCATGAATAAATATTTTAAAAAAAAATGATGCAGGCCTGGCATAGTAGCCTAGGGATTAAAGTCCTCCCCTTATATGTGCCAGAATCCCGTTTGGGTGCTGGTTCGGGTCCCAGCTGCTCCACTCCACATCCAGTTCCCTGCCTGTGGCCTGGGAAAGCAGTCGGGGATAGCCCAAAGCTTTGGGACCCTGCACCTGCATGGGAGACCAGGAAGAAGCTCCTGGTGCCTGGCTTTGGATCTGTTCAGCTCCAGTCATTGTGGCCACTCAAGGAGTGAATCAGTGTCTGGAAGGCCTTCCTCTCTTTCTTTCCTCCTCTCTGTATATCTGGCTTTCCAATAAAAATAAATAAATCTTAATAAATAAATAAACATATCTTTAAAAATTGATGCAACCTTTGAAATGTAAAAAAACAAAATCCAAAGAAAGTAAACTTTGGAACTCAAAGGTCCTCTTCTCCAATCGTGTAAGGAAAAGAAACTTAATAACAAAGGTGTTAACATGCAAGCTCTTCCTAGACAGCTTGGGGTAAGCATGAGCAATCAGACCCCACACGTAGGACTCATCCACAGCAGAGCGAGTGGTTCCAAGTCCCAGCTGCATTTCTAACACCAGCACCCACCCCCCGGAGGGTCTCTGCCTGTGGGAGACCCTGGCTGAGTTCTGAGCTCCTTACTTGCGCCTGGCCCCAGCTCTGATGGTTGTGGACATTTTGAAGGTGAACAAGCACTGTACCTCTGTGATTCAAATTTAAAAAAATAATAATAAAGAAGCTTGTATTTAACTAGAATAAGAACTATACACTGGGATTCAGTGAAGCAATATGACAAATCTGGGGCTACTGCTGGGCAACGTACAGATTCTGTGCTTAGCAGAGACCAATTACACGATGGCAAGCTGAGATGTCCAAGCCGCTCACCAGTATGGATGCTGTTTTCCACCACATGTATCTAGCATGCACCCCAAGTTATTAAAGTTTAAAGATCCACTCATATCTACAAAGGCCTACAGGAAAAGCCTGCAGAAATTCCAAGCTTGATGCCTTTACTTCAGTCCCCTTTGATCTGAGACTCTCACGGAATCCAAAAGTAAATCTTACCAAGAACACTAATGCCGAGGCCTTTGTAGTCTACCAATTCCTTCTGTATCTCTAACAATACCTAGTGGGAAAAAAGAAAAGATGATTTCAACACGTCATACACAACTTCCCCTCTGGACATATAAACAAGAGAGGGGGTGGGGGAGGCCCCTGACCACAGGGAGGGGGCAGCCCACCGAAGAGCCCATGAAACTCCCAGGTTCTCTCCCCACCCTTCCCAGTACCCTTCTTCCCAATTCTGCCACGCACAAGTTGAGCGAGAATGGAGACAGCCTAACTTGGGTCAAGAAACACCGTTCCCAAAGACATAAGTCCATGGATTCTCTAGAAAATTCCCAGCCCTGATAACTAAGGTGGCCAACATTACAACGTAATATCAATGGGAAGGCAACAGTATTTCAGGGCATGGTGATGTTGTGGGTTAAGCAACACCCTGTGACACCTGCATCCCATATCCAACTCCCCTGATTCAGCTCCCTGTTAGGGCCCCTGGGAAGCCAGCAGAGCATGGCCCAAGGCCTTGGATCCTGCCACCCACACAACACACGCAGGTGAACTCCCAGCTCCTGGCTCTGTCCTGGGCCATTCCTGGTTATTACTGCCATTTGGCAAGCGAATCAGCAAATGGAAAAATACCGCTCTCTGTCTCTTCCTTTCTCTACCTTTCAAATAAATCTCTAAAATGAAAAGTGTTTTAACAGTAACGAATTAAGACAAAAGAGGACCTTGACAAGTGGTTCAAGAATGGGTCCCCCTTTTAAACTGCTGCATGTTTATCAACACTGGCTGGTCAAATGAATTAGAAAGTCCTTTGATCTGGGACACAGTCCTCTTTCTACAAAAGCTTTTAACCAAAAACACTGCAAAGAATTTTAAGAACATCTACCAAAAATCCACATCTCCCTCCGACACAGTCAGATCTTTTCTAACCGTAGTAGGCAACCGCTTGTGCACTCACAACAAAGTTTTGCTTTTGTTTTTCCAAAATAGATGGGCTAGAGAATAAAGTGTCACCGGTGATTAAACCAACGATGACTTCATTAGGCTTTTATTATAATTATGCACATGCAGTTTGCCATTTTTCAAAACTCACTGGAACTAACAGCCTCTCCCCCAAAATCTGAAATGTTCTGTCGTTGTTTCAATTGTACTACATCAAGAAGACAGTAAAAAGCAATACCTACACACACACACAGACACACACAGACACACAGACAGACACACACACACCGCCACATCCCTTCTGACTGCAAAAAAATCTCCCCAGGAAAATAACTGGTAAATGATTGTATGATCCATGCCCTTGTAATGAATTCCTAACAGAAAACAAACACACACAAGAACCAAACACTTGGAAGATTCCAAAAATGGGGGGTGGCGGATGGGGGACAGGAAGGCATCCTATTAGCAGGAAATGTTCCCATGGTTCTTTCAAGGAAGGTCCCCTAAAATGAATTAGAATAACGGAGAAAAAAAATAAGCCCAGTCTCCCAACCACTGCGAGCGCCGCCCCTCGGAAGGCAGGGCGGTCTCTGTGCCATTGTAACACTGTCTGCCCCGCAGCACAGAGGCGGCTCTGTCCCAGCCAGACCCCACTCCGTGCAACAACACATCATTGTGAAGTACTTGGCTGGGACCCACACCGCTACAACAGTTTATCAGCTTCTTCCCGGTTAGCAAAATACAAACACGAGAGCAGCGGCGGCCGCCTGTATGGCCAGGAGTTCAAGGCTGACTGGGGGCCACTTTGTCCTTTTGACACAGCTGGAGGGGTGGGGTGGAGCTGGACCCTGGCGGGGGTCTGAAAGGCAAACCTTGAGTTCCTCCGTGCTAACACTTGCATCATCTGCTGGGACCCCAGGGAGTTAACTCACTGGTTCCTTTTGCTCCAGAATAAAGTGAACTGAACTGAGTTAAGCAGCCCAGTAAACTACTCATTGGAATACTCCGATGACTCTCCAGGGGTCGGAAAGGTAAAAAGCAAAACCAAAACACAGGAGAGGAAGACTTCAGGGAAGGTTAGGTTCCGGAGGAAGAAGTAGGCCTGAAGACTTTCAAATCTGCACTTCCAAACAATACGTTCCCGAGTGCTTGGATAAACTAAAGAGGCGGGCCCTCGGATGTAACTCCCGCGAGTTAATGTGCTCCCCGGTGGCAACATCGACCACGCATTCGTTGTCATTCACCGTTTGTTGGCGATACGCGCCCATTCATGCATCCACACCGCACAGCCCCAGCTCGCAGCACAACTGAGAGAGGAGAGCAAGAAAGAAGTTTTCTTTCTTTCCCGCCGCGCCCGGGGTGAAGAAGACACAGTCCCAGACACAGTCCCAGCGTGGGCAGATGCGCTACACCGGCAGCACCGCAAATCCGGGCGGCTGGGAGAATGCCCAGCTCGAAGCAGCAGCCGGTTCCAGCGGCAGAAGCACAGACACGCGTCGCCGAGCTTCCCTTGCCTACTGAAAACTTTGCGGAGCCCGCATGCTAGAGCTCCTGAAGCGGCGTGCACGCTGGTGCACACCGGCGCCGAGCCGGCCCAGGACAGGGATGCCAACTCACCCTCGGACCGCAAGCCTGGCACGCGCCCGCGGGGACCTACCGAGCGTGGCAGCTTGGCGGGCCCGGGCCCGAAGTTGACAGTCTGCTTCTGAGAGTCCATGGCGCGGCGGTGCGGGAGGCGAGTCAGCTACCGAGGGACCGCAGCGCGTCCAGCGGGCTTACCCGGACTCGGCCGCGCGGGTTTGCGGCGGGCTCCGGCTCCCCGCCTTCTCCCGGGGCCCAGTTGGCGTTCCATTGGGCCACCGTCGAGGGTCCTGGTGCTCATTGGTTGGCACCGGGGGAGCTCACATCCCCATTGGCCTTGCTCCCGAGCGAGGCCGGGAACCGTGGCTCCTCCTGACTGTTCGTGTTCCAACCCCCCTTTCAATCCATGCAAGGCACAGGGGAGATTGCAACAGCTTTCTTTGCTCGGTTGAGCGCCCGCACCAAGATAAGCTGGTGGTTGAGAGGCCGCCCTGCCCGCCTGCGTTCGCCCCTCGAGCACCTCCATCAACCCGCCTCCCTTCCTCCTCTCTCTGGGTGGGACCCGGAGCTGACCACCCCCCCCCATCCACCCACTTCTCCTCCAGCACTCCTAGGACTGAAATCCGATACTTTTGTTCCAAAGTCATTAGTAATTAATTCACGAAACTTGTCTACCGGAGCCAGCTACTCCCAGTGGAGAGGTGGGACCCCCAAAGGGTGGAGAATAGACCTGCGGTAGACGGTTAAGGGGTTTTTTGTTGTTTTTTTTCCTGTGCTTGCACCAGGACCCCTAGTTACTGGGAGGCGTAAAGGCGGGGGTGGTTGAGAACGCGGGAGGGGCACTCCGGATGCCTCCCAGCAAGTTCTTTAAAGTTGCAGGATATGTATTTCTTGCTTGGTGGAGCGAGCTAGCTGGAACCTGGCGTTGGCTCTCGGGTTGCGCGCACGCTGTCAAGCTGCGAGTTGAGAAACGCGAGGAGACGGGGAACAGCAACGCGACACCCGCTGGGACCCTGCAGCCCCGGCCCGAGCTAAGGGGCCCTGAGCCGAGCTGGGCGCGCGGCCAGGCCTGCTCAAACCTTTCCACCCGGGCTCCCTTCGCAGAAGCCCTCCAGCGCATTCTCACGCTGGGGTTCTGAGAGCAGAGAGGCCCCTTGCCCTGCGGGAAGGGAGTTCCTTTGAAATCGCGATTCCCCAGTTTTTATTGTGTGCATTTTGCCTTCTACTCCACAACTGAATCCTAGTTTCTTCTGATTAAAAAAAAAAAAAAAAAAGCATATATTTTCCCAAGTCTTTCAGTAAAACTGATACACCAGGAGTAGGCACAGGGTTCCTTCTGGAACTCCAGTACCCCAGGGAGTTTGTCGTCATCGGCTGTTTGGGGGTGGGGGTTCTGGTGTTTGCTTGCTGGGGTTCGGGGGCAGAATGAGATTGGAAGCAGAGAAGCTGCTCTGAGCTAGGGATTGGCCAAGCTTCTAGAACAAACTGAGATGCACAATCGTTGCCTTTTTTAGAGACTTCATTTCAAATACAGCAAAACTGAATGAGGCTATGCGTCCCAGGCCATGCACCTGAAAGTGCAAAAATTGTCATATTCCTTTTTATTGGACTACTTGGCCCACTGCAGGTAATCAACCAGGCACAGTAAGGGACTTGCCATCACTGGAATTCCTACAGTCCCATGGGGGTATGCTGGGAGACCAGAGGGACGACTCACCCGTTTAGTCTCTACTAAAAATACGACAGTTGTATAGACTCTTCTTTTGTGAGTGTGTTCAAACAAACCTATTTTTAATGCCTATTTTTCTGAAAATGTTTTTTTTTTTTTTGAAAGGCAGAGAGGCACAGAGAAAGAACTTCTATTACTGTTTGCTGCCCCTGCATGCCCACGATTGCCAGGGCCCAGGCTGAGGCCAGGGACTGGGAAATGAGGCCAAGCCAGTCATCACCACCGTCTCCCAGAGCGTTTATCGCCTTCTGCTGCGGGATGCAGGAACTTTCTGAGAAATCCTTGTATGTTCCATATGAAATAACAAATGAAGGTAAGTTCCTATCATCTCTGGAATTTGTAAAACACCAGAAGGAACCAAGATACCCCTGGGAAAAATTCCTGCTCCCACTTCACACCACTACAGAGTCCCACACCAGACCATCTGACAGTCACTCAGTCGTTCAACAAATATTGCCTTCTTGCCACATAGGAGGGAAAAAATCAGACAAGAACCCTGTTCTGAGCTCTGCTGTTGAGGGTGTGTGAGCAGACTCCTGTTCGGTCCTGCAAACATCTTCTCCATGAGACCTGCTCCATATCCTACCCAATTCTGCAACCTCTCACTCCGCACCTAATTCCACTTGTTTTGTTTTGTTGCCAAGGTATGGGGCACCTTCTAACAGGCTGTGCCCATTCTGTGCTAGCCAAATGATTTTCTTCTTGGTTTATTGATGTGCTGAACAGAGTGCCTAGCCTGAGTCAACTCATGAGGGAGGATTGTTACATAAAAGAATGAATTTATAAATATTGGACTATTCCAGTCATTTTCCTACAATGGAGAGGTCCGTCTCAAAGCCTTCAACTTGAGAGACAACTGATTGCCATTATTAATGACAATTATCTCCCACCCTATTCAGCAGGTTCGAGGAATGCTTTATCTTTTCTCATTCTGCAGTACAGTTTGCTCTCTCTCCATCCTCCACCCACTTCCATCCGTCTCCATCCGGTCTGCCCAGTCCAAGCTCCTGCGCTTTCCAGATTTCTGGATGATCTTGCATGGACTTGCCTTGCTTGGAGCCATTCTCCAAACAGTAACCACAGTCAGATTTCTAAAACATAAAATGGAACACATTATTCTTTCTTCCTGCATCAAAAAGTCTGTTGGTTTCCTTCTACATCCACTCCCTTTAGGATTACAAAACTGTGCCATGCCTGACCTGCTTTTCCATCACCTCTTGATTCAGCCACTGTTCCCTCTGATTGACTGATCTTTGGAGACCTACTTAGCAGTCACCCACCCCCTCAGTCGTTACAGAAGCTGAGACCCTGTCTGCCTGACTCACCGCTAGAGCCCCAGCACCCAGCTTGCTAGGTGCTGGACACATGGTTGAGTGAACAGACAAGGCACAAAAAAAGAAGGAAATAATGAAGTCCCGAGTGCGCTTGGCTGCTTAGGCAGAAGCGTGTTGACAATTTCTTCAGCATTTCCAATAGGGGAGCACTTAAAACTTGCTTAACATCTTTTTAATAGTTGATTATATCAAAAATAGAGTGAGAGAAGGGTGGGGTCAGATGGTTCTGAGACCAGGAAGATACAAGGGTGTCACCCTGCAAATCTTGAGAACCTGTGGCTGCCAAGGCTTGTCCCCCCGTACAAGTCACATGTGCAGACGCTGGCTGCCATTTCGAGTGCTAACATGTCACGGCACGATTATGATTCTAGGTCAGGATTTCAGTGATGAGCGGCACTGCAAGTGGCAGGTTGCCACACCCATCACTTCAGTAAGACCGGGGAGGCCCTTTCATCCCGTTTATGAATTTCCTTGCAGCATCTATTTTCAGCCACAGGAGTGAAAGAACTTTCCAACATCTCTCTAGTTTCAAATCATCTGAATCCAGGATGTAGAATGCTTGTTCCTCCTCCGAAACGGAGGCTATCCTGTGTTTTGAGCTTCTTTCTCATTGGCCACGACTGTCAATTTCAGCATCGATCCCCTCTGGATCAAGTTCACCAAAATAAGCTCTCCCAGAATTTGTAAAAAATTGTGGTAATAAACACTGAAGATAAACTGTACCGTATTAACCACCCCTGGCCCCAGTTTTTTGTTTGTTTTCTAGGTTTATTTCAAAATCAAAGTTGCAGTGACATCGGCCTTCCATCCAATGTTCCCTCGACAGGTGGTCACATGAGCAAAGTCAGGCCCAGGCCAGGAATTTCATGCAGGTCTCCCAGGCCGGTGACAGGATCCCGGTCACTTGGGCCATCTCCTGCTATATTTCTGGGGAATTGGATTGTGGGTGAAGCAGCCAGGACTCAAACCAGTGCCCGTACAGGAAGCCAGTGTCGCAAGCAGTGTCGCAAAGCACCTGCTGTGCTTTGATGCCAGCCCTTGATTTTTTGTTTGTGAACTTGACAACCCAAGTTCCCCCTGACATGTGGGATCACAGAGTGTTTGTCCTTTTCTGATTAGCTTATTTCACTCAAGATTTCTTTCTTCCTTCTTGGCTGAATGTTATTTTGTTATCTATGCAGGCCACATTTTCTTTTTTTTTTCCTCTTAATATAATTTTCATAATAAATTTATTTTGGTGATGTTTACATAGTTAAAGACGCATGCCCTTGTGGACCGCTGATCGAGGGGACGGGGAGGAATGGGGAAAATGGGGACAAGTGTTTTCACTCTCCTTTTGTTCATACATCAGGGGAAAATGGGGAGATGGCCACTACCCCAGCCCAGCCAGATCACTGCCCTGGGACTGGGGCGAGCCACCCGACAGCCCCGGGACCCCAATGAGGACCGTATTACAAGGACACTTCTAAAGCGTTCGTAGTTCTGAGACGTGGTTAACTTTGTTGCTCCAAGGATGAGGAAATCCTTCTAAGATCCATTGGCTGACACAATCTACCTTAGAGTCAATTCTCCCAGATACTGGCTGTCAAAGCTTGGCCAGGAAAGCTGTCCGGTTTGTTCAAACATCCAATTTGTTCCGTACTAGGTGTCCTCCAGGCCTCAATGAACTGGGTGTCATGTTCCCCAGGTTCATCTGGAAAGGCTGTCCACTGCACAGGCTTCAACAGCCGAGGAGACCCAGTTCTGACACATGCACCTCACGGTCAGACCACAGCTCCTGTGATTGCCCCTGCGCAAGGAATTTTGAGTCCAGTGTTCTAGACCCTGTCTGCTGATGTGCCTACATCTGCCTCCCACAAAACTTAAAAAAAAAAGCAACTATGCCGGCACACTGGTATAGTTAACACAAATTTGGCATTAACCAGGCCCAGAATGCCCTCCAGCTATTGGCTGCTTTTCCCCCAGCAGTGTGACACTTGGCCTAGGTCTGAGGCAACCTAGGCAGTTGCTGGGGTGACTGCAATTCATCCGTTATCCACTAGGGAAAGGCTGAAATTGCTCCACCTTGTGGTGATTGCGAATAATATTACTATGAATATGAATGTATATGTGGGGCCGAAGCGAGCAGTACTACTATGAAAATGAATGCTCAAATAACTTGCTTCCTCTTCTCTCCTTCCTTCCATCGGCAGAGGTGCAGAGAAAGGGAGAGGCATTTGCTGGTTCACTCCCCAGCTGACCACTGCTTTTGCAGGTGTATTTGCAGGGAGCTGAATAAGAAGTGAAGCAGTCAGGACACAAGCTGGTGCCCACAGAGGATTCTGGAGCTGCGGGTGACAGCTTAACATACTACGTCACAGCACTAGGCTTAATGAACGCAATAAAACCAGCCCAAACAAAACATGCCAGCGATATTAAAATTCCCAGATTTGAACTATACAAAGTAGTTTGCATTATTAAATTTTCAGAGTTTATTAAAATCTATTAAAAAAAAAAAAACAGGATGGGGACATGTTCATTGCAAGCTAGGGTCTAAGTTCAGAATGATTTCCTTTGCATTTTCATTTGGTTCCAGGCCAATGGGAAGGGTCTCATTTGGCAATACGGGCAGAGTCCATCTACCTGCAGGAAAATCTTGACTTCAGGCTCTCCAGGAAGTCTGGCTCTTAGCCCATGGTCTGGCATCCATGACTTTTGAACTTCACCCAGAACAACACGGGGTGCTGTGAGGGCAAGCTAACTGCCAGGAGCTCGAGGTCAGCTGGGCCAAGTCAGCAGCTGCTGCTCCCCTGGACAGTTTAAGGCATGCATCCAGAGCCTGCACAAGCTGCTGTGCCATAGTGGTGGCCCCACTTTGTTCTTTCAATATTGACTAAAAGCAAGCATTATCAACCTTTCAATTGAAAAATATCACATTAGTGGCTGGCACGATGACTCACAAGGCTAATCCTCAGCCTGCTAGCACCAACATCCCTTACGGGTACAGGTTCATGTCCCAGCAGCCTCACTTCCCATCCAGCTCCCTGCTTGTGGCCTGGGAAAGCAGTCAGAGACGGTCCAAAGCTTTGGGACCCTGCACCATTGTGGGAGACTTGGAGGAGACTCCTGGCTTCAGATTGGCTCAGCTCCAGCTGTTGCAGCAACTTGGGTAGTGAACCAGCTGGCCGAAAATCTTCCTTTGCTTTGTATATCTGACTTTCCAGTAAAAACAAATAAATCTCTCTCTCTCTTGTTTTTTTTTTTTTTTTTAAATCTGGCTCCTCCACTTCAGATCCAGCTTCCTGCAGAGGCGATCCAGACATCAACAGATGATGGCTCAGACCCTCGAGCCCTGACACTCACAGGAGAGACCCAGATGGGGCTCCTGGAAGCTGACTGTAGTTCAGCTGGGCCCTGGCTCCTGTGGACATCTGAGTACTGAATCAGTGGACACAAGCCCGGCATCTGTGGCACTATGCCTGTCAACTAAACGGTAACCAAATAAAAAGAACCGCTCTTGTATTGCACAGCATTTTCCCAGTCCTTTGCCTAATCTAACATTTAATTTTGTGGCTATATACTGGTACGTACGCCTGTGGCTCAAAACAACGCACTGGTATAGGACACGGGCATTACAAGGGCCTGCTCTGTAGTTTATAGGTTCTGTCATTTTGCGTACTACGGTGATCCACAATCAAACTTTAATTTCATGAACTAAATCCTCAGCTGAATGCATTCTGCTATCTAGCCCATCTTTTATTTTCTCAAAATGTTAATTTCTGGAAACTAAATCTTTTCCTGATATCCTATTCCTTAGGGCTACTATTTCAGGAACTTGAATTCATTTCAGAATTTCTTCTCGTAATTATTCCTTAAGCAGGTTGTTTCTTTAAATGTAATCATGCCTCATTTTATGTTTTTGACTGTCTTCATATTTGATGGTTCTTGATGGGCCAAGAATTTACACACGAGAGCCTAAGGTTAAGGCTTGAAATGCTTTCCTCGACCAAATCAGATTTTCAGTTGGCCTTCAGTGTGCTCAGATCCTGTGAGAGGCACCTGCGCAGACGAGACGGGAAGCTGCGGGCCATCCCAGCTGCACTTCCTCCAGGCAGCCGGGACGCAGCGTGCCCTCGGCCGCAGTGTTTCCTGCGTTACAGTGCCCACTCCAAAGAGCCCGCTCTCGGGAGGCTATGTCCCACTCTCCAGCTAACTGGCCCTTCGATAATCTGTTTTCTATCTTCTAGGAATTCCATATTGTTCATGTTCTGGTTTTCCAAGGTTGCTACTACTGTATCTTTTAATATTTTCCCAACTGTACCGCCTTGTTATGGCTATGTAACTTTGCATACTCAACATAACCTGTTGCCTCGAACGCCTCATCCATAAAATGGACACAACCGTTACCTACCTTACGGTGCTGCCACGAGCCGTAAGCTGCTAGGGACACACGTGGCTGCCACTGGCTTCTGGTCGTGTCGCTTCCACACTTAGCAGAGGGCAGAGTTACTGCCTTCATTCGCTCCCATGATTTTCTGGTCCCCTCTCTCTTCACAGAGTTTTAGTTCCATGAAGGCAAAGGCTTTTCTTGCTTTACTCCGGAAAGACAAAGCACTCAGCACAGCACTGCACGGATCAGGCCTCCAGAAACGTCTTCTGAATCAAGAATCCAAGGGAAGGTTAACCAAGTTTCAGTAAATAAAAGGTAGACATCAATCTCCCTTTAATGGCTCCCACTTCTAAGACACTAAATGCCACAATGAAAACATAAGAAAATTTATTACAATTCGAAGGGGAAAAGGTAATTTCAAAAGATTTAGACCTATGTCAGCCGTGATAGTGAATGGATGCTTTCTGGAAATTCAAAGTCAGATCCCAGCGTGTCACTTCCAGAATGTTCTACTGGATTGGGTTTACTTCTACTTGTCTCGGAGGAAACAGTCACTATTCTACTTTCTTTCTTGACAGAAATGTATTTTTTCAAAGACTCACTTTTAATTGGTTCATTAATCAAAGAATCATTTGCTCCAAAGCCTTTGTTTTTCCGGTTCGTAGGAGAGTCCGCGCAGGCTTGCTGGTCGCTCGCCACCTGTCTCTTGCCGGGGTACTTTCTGGCCGTCCTCTCTGAGGATGGCCTGCTGTACGCTTCCTCCTCTTCCCGGTGACTTCTGACTCCAGAGATCATCTCCGCTAGCGGAGGACACGTCCTGGCCATGAAGCCTTCCAACGACTCCCGCTGCTGCTCAGTGGCTGCGGCTCCGGGCTGCTCGCCGGGAGCTCCTGGGGCCTCCTGCGTGGCACCGGGGACACGGAAGGAGTCGAGAGGCACAGGAATTCTAGCATCGCCTGTAATTTTCTGAAACTGAAAGCAAAAACACACAAAAAAATTGAGCAGTGAATAAAGCTAACTGCTAAGAAGCGGAGTTGAACATTTCAGTGTTACTCTGTGATTTTATTATTGTCAACTGATTGAACTTTGAGCAGTCTTGAGGGTTACCTTGCCAAGTGATTCCCAGCTTCACTAAGCTATGTTCAAGACCCCACATTTTTAGACTTTTATGCTTTCTGCAATTTTTATCCATTTCTTCTGAACTCATTAAGAAAAAGAAAAAAGCTGTAACCTGACCTCATGAACATGTCAGGAGTATTCAATTTTTAACTCGACTGAGTTCTCAAGCTGTTAGTTCCCAAGAGCAGCCCGAGACTCACTGGGAGAAGGGGGTGGTTCTGATGGACTGGCCTCGCCCAGCAGCTAACAGCATCCAATCACGAGGTGGCTGGATTTAATACCTGGCTCCTGACTCTGGGAACCTAGATTATGTTCCAAACTACAGGTTGTCCGGACCCAGTCCTGGCTGCTGCAGGCTTTTGAGGGGGCGATCAGCGAAGGAGAGCTCTCTTAAACAAAAACAAAGAAGGGCCAGTGTGGTGGCACAGGGAACTAATCTTCTGCCCTGTGGCACTGGCATTCCATACGGGCGCTGGCTCAGTTCCCAGCTGATTTAGCTCTCTGTCCCGGGAAAGCAGTGGAGGATGGTCCAGGCTCCTGGGTCCCCGTGTCTATGTGAGAGACCGAGAGAGAGAAGTTCCTGGCTTCCCATCATTTCAGCTACGGCCCTTGAAGCCTTTTGGGGAGCAAACCAGCAAATGGGAGATTCTTTTTCTTTGTCTCTCCTTTCTGCAACTCTATCTTTGAAGTAAAAATCAGTAAGTTTTAAAAATAAAAAAGAGAGCAGCAAGGAATACCTGTAGCAGACAAATTTTCCCCTCCAGCTACCATAATCAAGTGAATGCCTAACACTGCCTATTGGTAAGGGCTCAACTACTTATTTTAAAACATTATCTCTACCAGTACTTGTACCTTCATTAGTGTTCCTTCATTGTAAGCTGACTGCATACAAATAGAAACCTAGATGAAATATGAATAGACATATGCAATTTAAAATTTGAATATGTTCCCTTAATATTTCTTTACTCAAATTTACAAAACAACTTCATGTTTACTTACAACAACTAAATATCATAAAATAGGTACAGATTCACTGATTTCCCAAGGAGGCTCCCAGCCCGCCACATGGAAAGTACTGTGGATAGATTATTCTTATTTTTCGTTCTGACTCGGTAATTCCCTTCTGCTAGTCGCGGTTAGCACCTTCAGTTCTGCTCTGTCTACTTACTTGGATGTTTTGCAGCTGTCCCACAGCGTTCTGCGTTTCTTCCGGCTTTTCTTCTTCAAGCGCTTTCTGTCCTTCCTTAGGCAGGCTACTAATGGTAGAATTCATCTGCGGACGACCTAGTAAATTAAAATCTGACTGATCTATACCAGCCACTGCAGCAAGCTGCCCGAGCCTGGTCAAGAAAAAAAAGAAGAGGAGAGCCAAGAGTTATTACAACCTCATAAGAATGGCTCCCATTTCCTAAAACTACAAGTATTGCATCTCTTTAAAACCTTAAAAAGCCAGTATCAAGTTCCTCAGCAACTACCGCTAAAGTCACACAAGGAAGCTTGCCAGAGAGACAACTGAACTAACCCCGCATCTTTAAGGAGATCCAAGAAGGCATGGAACTTCCGGAACGAGTTCTCAATACTGCCCAAGACGCCTTCGTCATCCAGGATCATGTTCGTCAGTGACTGCGCGTGAAGGGCTTCAGACAAGGAGAAATTGATATTTCTCAACTGAGCATTTTCCTGTTCCAGCTGTAAAAGGAGACCAAACATGTGTGACACGACTTTTCTCATTGTTGACAAAAGAAAACAGCACTTAGGTGACAGAACTAACATTTAAGTACGTAATTAACTTGTAATTAGCCTAACCCTCTACTGAGGACAGTGATCATTTAATGTAACAAAAGTCAAAGACATCTGACAATATTTCCCAACTAATACTTAGGTTGTATATCAGTAAAACCCAAAGTTACTATTTAATTAATGATCTAGCAAAAAGATCACATTTTCTAACTAAATTTATATATCCGGTAGATCATTCTACAATAGAACATTAGCTACTTAAGCTTAGAGGATGAAATACAGAGTCTGATTTGAGAAAAATATATTTCTGCTGAGTGTTAAGGATTCATTTTAGCTATCATAATATTCAGTGTTCATTTCAAAGTTCCTAAGTCATATCTAAATTATTAGCTGTACAATTACGGACACTCGTCCTGTCGGCTTCTTGGAAATATTTACTCCCCCAAAGCACTTCCCCCTCATCACTGATTCAGGTAAAATCACGAGTGCCAACTCCAACGCTTCTCAGAAGGGTCATTTTGTTCGCGTTGTGCCTTCTGCGTTACTCCATCAGTGGCTCAATATTTATTGAATAAGTGTCTTCCAATCCAATTCATTTTTAAAAATTCCTCCTTAAATTCATCTTGTAATAATCGTAAGTTAATACTTCTAGAACTTTCTGGATTAGACCTTGCTTTCATGTACATTAGCTTCATTTAATACTCATGGTAGTTTTTTTTTAATCAAAAAAGAAGTTTTCATTAAAACTCTCAACAATTTCCTATTACTTTGTATTTTTAAATTCATTTTCCTAATTCACTATGAAGTATCGGCTAATAGCTGCACTGGTATCTTTCATGTTATTATATATGCAACATAAACCTATTAAGTGCATACTAAAATTGAAGCATCATTAAAAAATGAGCCAAGTCACTTAAAAGCACAGGAAAGAAAAATCCCATAACAATTACACTTTTGAAACTTTTTTTGGAACAGAGAACACAGCACAGGATTAAAACACTGCCACAAACCGGAAACCACTTCCTCACCTCACTGACTCGCTGGTCAGCTTTCAGCCTTACTACTCTTTCTTCCTTTAGCTGCTTCAGGCACTCCTCCAGTTTCTCCTGTAATGCCTCTTGTTTCACACTGGTGTTCTCGGGCACTTCATGAACACTTTCTGAAGAATCGTCAACCTCTTCGATTTCTGAAGATGAAGGACTCTCTACTGTCACGGTCACGGGAAAACTGGGTTGCTTGAAGAAAGAGGACAGAGTTATGTAAGTCATAATAGGAAGCAAGTAGTGAAGGATAACTAACCAGAGTGATTTTGAGAACTAACAAGCAATTATCTATGTGTAAATGTCTTTCCCTATTAATAATAAACACTAATGTCTTATTGCTACAGTACTGCATAGATCTGTACACACGGTAATGGCTAGTATTTGGAATTGCCCACTTTGTTCAATTTCTTTCAGATAAACTAAATGTGGAACCAAGCTAAACATTTTCTTAGATATATTTTATAAAGTAGATGAGAAGTTTCTTCTCATTCTCTAGACAACAAAAGGTTAGGAATAAAATATAGTTTTTATGAGGAAAAAATCCATTGATACAGAACTGAAAAATAGTAAGTATAGCTTAACTTTGAACAACAGACACTAAAATGGTTTTAAATAACCCATGGACAGAAATTAAAATAAAATGGACCAATCAGACTCCTCATTTCCTGATTTCCTCATTTCCTTCAGCTCAAATTAAGGCAGTTAACTAAGTTTCACTGCCACTGGAACATTCCTTAACATATTTTGCAACATTTAAAATGGAAACTTGGAGAGCATATTGTGGCCACTGCTCAGGTGAGCACAGCTCAGAGCCTGTTTGAATTCCTGCTACTCTACACTTCCACTCTAGCTTGCTGCTAATGTCCCTGGGCCTGGGACGGGCTGAGGGCGTTCCTGGCTCCGGGCTTCAGCCTGACCAAACACCGGATCTTGTGAACAACTGGGGGAAGAATCAGTGGACGGAAGGTCTTTCTCTTCCTCTCTCTGTCATTCTGCTTTTCAAATCAAATAAATAAATCCTAAAAAACTGACAATCTAAGATCAAAAAGAAGAGTGCTGGCATTATATAACTGAATAGAAGACAAGTCACTCAGACAGAATTTCTACTGCAAGCAGCAATCCCTGCATTTAATGAAAATATTAAGTCGAAGAAGCAGATGAACACTCTACTCGTGGGCATGTAGATGCAGTACAAATAGCCAGCATGCCACTCATCTATTATGGTGAGGTTGATTCCCCAGGACAACGGACAAGGAGAACTGGTCCTCGCACGGAAAGAGCTTGTTCCACGGCCCTGAAGTGGCAGGGAGAACACGCTCTTGGAAAGCAGAGCGCTCTGCACTTAGCTGCTGGGATGTGGCTTTGAGATCCAGAATCTACACATCTATGGGCACTTCAAAAAGCTAATGGAAAAATGGAATTAAAAGTTTATTTCAACGTAAAAAGTTTTGACATCCATACATATTTTATTTTTATTCTTTGGAAGACATTTATCTCTAACATATCTTTAAAAAAAATTTTTTTAAGTATGATGGCTGCGTGTGGTGGTCAGATGTGTATTACTAGGTACGAGCTAATCTGTGGACAGGAGAAAGGGCTTCCTCGTGGCCAAGGACACCACTGTGTACCAAATCCACCCAACTATCCCACAGCACTGGGAGAGCATTCTGGAAAATTTTCAATGGGTTTATTGCACATGGAAATATTCTTGGAAAAGGCGTTTTAGTTTTAAAAAACTCAAGAAAATGACTCAACATTTTTCCCATCCCAAGCCTCTACATGTTAGTAATATGGTAACTGCAAACCTGTAACTCTTTGGATACATCACGAGTTTTGATTAATGGAAACCCCCTAAAGAAATACCAATAAGTCAGGTTACATTTTATTGTAAACACACCACTAAAACGCAAGCCAACAAACCTTATTATTTTATGTACACTATCCATATAGAACTGTGCATAATAATAACCTCAAAGACAAGGATCTTGAAGGTTCTGCTAATGGAGAAAATTTAGCATGCATCCGGGCAACTTAGTGACAGCTTTCAGAACTGCTGAGAGCCACACTCAATCCCCATTTCAGGAGGGTTGCTGGCTCACATTTTCAGTCTTTAGAAAGACATGTTACAGAGTGCCTATTTCCAGTCTATTAAATTTTTTTTTGGTTTCTTAAGCAACTTTTGAGCCCCGATTTCTTGAACACAATCATGCGAAACATCTGAAAATAATAATTTCATTCACTTAACAAGGCTAAAGTTACAGTATATTTTAGAGAAGCCTTTGATATTACTACTCTGAACACGTCTCTAGAACTTGCTAAAATCAGTTACATGGACTGATTCACTGATGAGAGCTGGGCGTGTTGACCGAGGGAGATGCTCCCAGGCCTCAGGCCTTGGCTGGCCCTTCCACACTGCGACGTTACCCAGCCCCGCTCCGCCCTGCAGAGCTGGCCCAACCGGGGGACCCATCCAGGCGCCTCTTCACTCTCACAAGGCAGAGAAAGCCCAGCTCCTAATTAAGCAATTCTTTTTCATTTTGCTTCCTTATAGGATTATTTGGGCTACAGCCTGGTGTGAGTCATCCTTCATTCTATAAAAACAACCGGAGGAACTTCCACAAAATCCAAGCTCTAAAATAAAGCACCGCGCATGCCTAAAAGACGGGGAACGCCAATACCTGGTCCTGTTTGCACGCTCCGCAGTTCGCCACGGCAGGAAACCGCGCGCCCCGGGCGGCAGAGGTTCCGGGGCATAACCTTCCTTACCCATGCAGTGTTTTTTCACACTGCTGACAGGTTTCTTTGTGGTCAATCCTATGTTAAAGAATCAAGATGCATGTAAGGTCCACAAATTAATTACTATGCATACATGCTTCAAAAAGCCATCATTAACAACGATACTAAGGCCATTAAAAACAGGGTCAGTTGGTAAAATGAGAGATACATATCATGCAAAAGTACATAAAAATATATTCCTGGGCCCGGCGCGGTGGCGCAAGTGGTTAAAGGTCCTCGCCTTGCACGCCCGGGATCCCATATGGGCGCCAGTTCTAATCCCGGCAGCCCCACTTCCCATCCAGCTCCCTGCCTGTGGCCCGGGAAAGCAGTCGAGGACGGCCCAAAGCTTTGGGACCCTGCACCCGCGTGGGAGACCCGGAAGAGGCTCCTGGCTTCGGACCGGCATAGTATCGGCCGTTGCGCTCACTTGGGGAGTGAATCATCAGACGGAAGATCTTCCTCTCTGTCTCTCCTCTCTGTATATCCGCCTTTCCAATGAAAAAATAATAAAAATAAATCTTTAAAAAAAATATATATATATATATATTCCAAATAATGGAAGATGACCGACAATACACTTCACTGAATGCCATGCAGAAATGCTCAGCTTATACAATTTCAGTACATCTCTGCATTTCCAAGTCTCAAAGAGCGCTAGACACACACTACCAAAACCAGCCTTCCGGATTAGACCAAAAGTTCCAGCCAAGATCAGTTTAATCATGTGAAGTCCACCGGACGGAGGGTCTCTGGGGGTGGGTGAATCAACGTGGCTCTCCTTTATGTCTGTTGCCCTGGAGTGCTTGTTGGACTTTTTACCAGAGGACACTGAGAAGGCAAGTGTTTGGTGCAGCGGTTGGCACAGATTAGGAGGCATATGTCCTATACTGGAATGGTTGAGTTACTTCTGTCTCTGTTCCCAATTCCCACTTCCGGATAAAGTGCACTCCAGGAGGCAGCAGGCAGTAACTCTAATACTGGGCCCTTGCCACCATGTAGGAGTCCCACATGGCGTTGCAGACACTCGGCCTGGCCCATTTTGGCTGTTAGGCAATTAGGTGACAAACCGGGAAGTCTTTCCATCGTTCTCCATCTCTGACTTCCAAGAAATCAAAGAATTTTTTCAACAAATTAAACATAAAACAAGTTTAAACTTCTAGAGCAAAAGAAATAGAGATCTAGCCTATGTTGCAATGTTAAAGAACCAAGTGTCTTTATATACTAAATTTGGTCACAAAGGTAAACTTAAGCATTACTATTTAAGTTAAAACAAACTGCACATGTAATCCAGTGGTCACTGTGCGTGACATTTCACTTGCTTTGAGTCCTGGCTATTCTGTCCCCTCCTGCTTCCTGCTAATGTGCCCGAGAAAGTCGTCCAAGTATTTGGGTCCCTGCCATCTTTGTTGACCGGGCTGGGATTCCTCGCTTCTGCCTGTGGCCTGGGCCAGCTCTGGCTGCTGTGGCCACTTGAGAAGTGAACCAAGAACATAAAATTTCTCTCTCTCTTTCTCCCCAGCAGCGTGTCTCCTCTGTTGTTCTGTCTCTTAAAACAGGAGCTTTGTTCATTTTGTGCTTCTCCGTTGCTGTCTTTTAATCTAACTACTTTCACGCAAAGAATTTTCCTATGCATTTTGTATATATCCATTCATTCACTTTTAGATTAACACATTTTCTTTTATTTACTAAAACCAACAGAATTTGTTGCTAGAAGAAACAATTTCTACTAAAGTTCCTATCTCCTTCATGTGACACACCCGCCTCCCCAGGTGTGGACACAGGAGGGAGAGTGTAACAAACACTCCAAAATCTTAAATTAAAAAAAAGCTGCCATCTTCTTTCTGCACATGGAACAAAGAGATGGACAGGATGCACTTCACACAAATGATCCAACCCTGTATTTACTCCAACCTAAGCAAACAGCCAGAAACTCATTGGGCTTACCTCTATGTCTCCAAATAACTGAGGCAAATACAAACAGAACAAACAAAAAAGCCCAAGAACAAAATTATTGTTGTGATAGCTCGGTGACTTGTCAACTTCAATCACATTCCCCGTTTTCCTCCTTGTGCTAAGAAGCAAGTTTTGTTTTTATTATTATCTAATACTCTTTTGTACTATTAGCTACTAATATTACAGAACCTATATACAGATCTTCTGCATTTACTTCTAATATATCAAAACCCCAATCTGGAATACTTCACAGTGTGAACTTTAAAAATAATATGTAACTACTGTGATGTCACAAATCTCATCTTGTTCCTTATGTATACTATTTGTCTGACTACGAATATATCTTTGCTCCAAAATAAATATAGGTACATAAATCCTATACCTCTTAACAATTTATTTAATTGGCTACAAGCAAATCAGTTAATAGTGAAATCAGAAACATTTCTTTTGCAGTCAACTTTCTGGTGCAGTTGGTTGGGCTACTGTCTGCAACGCCAACATCTCATACAGGCATTGACTCAAGTAGTCACCGTGGCGGCACATGGGAAGGCATGGGAAAATGGTGTGAGGGCACGGGCCCCGATCAGCCACACCAGTCCTGAATGGGATTCCAGAACTTTCACTTCAACCTGGCCCGACCCCAACTGTTGTAGCCATTGGGGAAGTGAAACAGGGCACGGAAGATCGCTTTGTAACTTTATCTTGGAAATGAATAAGAACAGTTTAAAAAACATCATAAAGTAAAATGTTCCCTCCCAGGCCCAACAAATTTTATACTACTACTTCATAATAACTATATTTTAAAACACTGGCTTATTTGAATAAATATTAACAGTTAACGATACTACATATATATATACATAAATATGTATATATATGTGTGTATATATTTATATATAGAGAGAGAGAGTGTGTGAGAGAGAGAGAGAGAAAGAGATTTTCCATTCACTGGTTCTGTCCCCAAATGGCTCCAGCAGAAGAGGCTCTGGGCTCCTGGCTTCGGATTGACTCGGCTCCAGCTATTACGGCTATGTGGAGAATGAATCAACAGACAGAAGATCTTTCTCTCTGTCTCTGCTCTTCTCTGTATATCTGACTTTGCAATAAAAATAAATAAATCTTAAAAAAAAAAAACACCTCAAAAGTATGGCGAGAATTTCCAACAAAGTACTTCCCAAATTTTAACTACAACATTAAAATTCAATTGCAAGGTTCAAGGTAGTTACCAAAAACATTAGAAACCCAACAACAGGAATAGCTGACTGATGTTAGCAGCTCTTTCCTACTGGTCACTGGCTATGTCTCTACTTCATAAGGTCTTCTACTCTGAGTAAGAACAATTCTAGCTCCTGTAACACGCAGGAAGTCACTACTGCTTGCCGCTGTCCAGGGCACACCACGAGGCGAGATTTTAGCACACTACAAAACAAAAGGAGAGTGAGTTCTGGAAGCATTAAAAAGCCAAGACAGAGAGGATTACCGATCCTAATAGTAGCTTTTCCTTTTCGGCCACTTCCTAGAATTATAGTTCTCTTTTTCTGCCTGGCAGTCCTGGCTGGCTCCCTCACTGACGGAGAAGTTATCCATTGGTACTGGAAAAGACGAAGAGCACACTCAGTCCGCGTGACTTCGGATGGTCTGGAAACTATTAAGAGAGTAACTAATGGCAGGTCTCCAACCTGCCGTTTGGAGAACCTCATATTAAAGAGTTCAACAATAAATTCAAGAGCTTAAATCATTTGCTTTGATTTAAAAATTAATTTTAAATGGCAGAAGAGTACCTTGACAATTTTTATTTTTTAAAACAATGTAAGAAAATCAGGCAATTAAAGGACTATAGGACTAAAAATATTGTACCTCTGACTTAGCACTCCTTCCGTTCTGGAGAACTTTTTTGGTAACTGCTTTCATCATAGTATGGTCTGCAATAAAGTAGAAATTGAAATTATAGCATTTATTTCCCAAAATGTAACTGTTCTAATTTACAATAAAGTCAACGGCTTATTTCTCTTTCCACAAAATTGAATATGAAATCCACATTACGTAATTTACACATATTTTTCCCCTTCAAATATCTCAACCTCTCCCTCAAGGACAAGAGGATGGTATGTTACCCTACCTGCTGCCCCATTGCCATGTTGGCAACGGCCAAGATCCAATCTACATATTCCCCCTGAGTAGCTCTGGACAGAAAAGCCAGAGCTGCACACTGCCCCGACGTGCAGACACCTGACAGGCAGCTACATGAACATGGAGAAAGTAAGGTTGGGATCCGCCTTCAGGCTGCTCCTCTACTCCTCTTCCTCCTCTCGGGAGACACAAAGTCAGACGGCTGACCTCTCAGTAGTATTTCCTTCAGAACCCAAACCTAATCTCTCGGAGTCTGGTCAGCTCGCAAGTGCTTCAATCTCATTGTACCCCATCCAGTCTTCTACGGTAAACTAGGCCATAAGCGCCTGCATGGACTACTGTGATGCGTTCCCTGCTTCCCTTCTTATCCCCTTCCTGCCTTTTCTTTAGCTCAAAGCATCCCATGACGTCTGGCTCACTGGGAACAGCACAACCCTTCCTCCGGCCTTGAAGATGTTACAAGAAAAGGTCCCTAGCCAGCTGTCTGAGTTCACAGTGTGCCAGACTCTCCTTCAGCGCTCCATCCAGGCCGGCCTCCTCGCTTTGCCCTAAGTACTCCCTCCAGCCCATCCCCTACGTGCCTATGTCGTCACTGCTTCCACATCCTAAGTGTACTCCCCTGAGCTCTTCCATGGCTTGTTCCTTATTCACTGAGGTCCCTGCAGTCAAGTGGCTACTAAAACTCCACCTAATATAGTCCCACTTGGCCTGGCTATCTTCTCACTGCAGGTATTTTTATACTTTCTCTACCTAAACTCACTCATTGTGCAATCGTGTATGTCTGAACTCCCTCATCAGAACAAAAGCCCCAAGATGGCAAGACTTTGTCCAGCTGTTTCATCGCAGGCTTGGTGCTTAACCTGGTTTCTAGCTTATATAAGTGTTCAAACAGGCCCGGCATAGTAGCCTAGCAGCTAAAGTCCTTACCTTGCGTTCACTGGGACCCCACATGGGTGCCGGTTCTAATCCTGGCAGCCCAGCTTCCCATTCAGCTCCTGGCTTGTGCCCTGGGAAAGCAGTGGAGGACGGCCCAAAGCCTTGGGACCCTGCGCCCACATGGGAGATCTAGAGGAGGCTCCTGGCTTCGGATCAACTCAGCTCCAGCCATTATGGCCACTTGGGGAGTGAATCTCTGTATATCTGACTTTCTAATAAAAAATAAATCTTCAAAAAAAAGTGCTCAAAAACTACTCAAAAAATTAATACATGAATGAAATATTATTTTCAACAGTTCAGAGGTTCCACAAAAAGGAAGTAGCGCTCTAGGTAGAAACATATTACCCAGGTTCGTCTTTATTTACAGCAGTAATCAAGTAGCTTATGAGTAAAACTTATTTTATTCTGTAATTATCTGCTAGAAATAGTTATACGAGTTATAAACAAAATTTGTTCAATTTGTGTACATTTATAAATTTATAACCATAAGCATATCATTTTGTAAAAACTGTCAATAGATAAACTAATTCTGATCTGCTTTCTCAGCAGGAAAAAAAAATATGGTGACCTACCAATGAGCGGATTTCTTCTTACATCCAGAACGACCAGAGTCCTGTTCGTTTCCAGGGCTTCGAGTAACGCCTGGGCTCCTTCATTGGTGAGGCCGCACTGCTGCAGGTCAAGCGCTTTCGGGGAAAGACAACAGGTCATGTGCCAAGTGCGTACAGATTTCACATGACGACAGCTTTCACTCACGCCTAGAAGATTCCTGTGCAGGTCTATTCACGTCAGGTGTTCAACCAAAATCCAGAAAGTAAGAATGACCTCTTCTTGGGTGTGCCAGAATTATTCTCTTGTTAGTGCAAGTAAAGCAGCCAGCACGGCCCACAATGTAGAGCTGAAGAAACTCTATGCCATGTATGAGAGAAAAACACCACAAAATGAAAACCAAACCGCCAAGGATGCCATTGGCAGTGTAAGCATCACAGGCAAAAAGTGAGCAGAGCTCAGAGGATGATCTAGAATTGCAAATGGCGCTCAAAACACTAGCAAAGGGGCCAGTGTTGTGGCACAGGGCATTAAGCTGCTCCTGGCAACACTGGCAACCCCAACCAAAGTGCCAGTTCAAGTCCTGTCTGTTCTGCTTCCAATCCAGCTCCCTGCTAATGTTCTTGGAAGACAGAAGACAGCCCAAATGTCTGGTCCCCTGCACCACAAGATGCAGTTCCTGGCTCCTGGCTTCATCCTGGTCCCAGTCCCGGCCATCACAGCCATTTGGGAAGTGAACCAATAGGTCTTTGTCTCTTGCTTTTTCTCTACTACTCTTTCAAGACAAATAAATCTTTAAAAGTGAAAAGAAAATGTAACAACTGTTAGTTCCGAATAAAAATGACAAAGCAAATCTAAGATGATACAAGTAACGTAGCCAAAGAATGTGTGAATATACCTTATGTGCGAGAAACCTATCAGAGAATGATAGTCAAGAATTCTTTGAATAAAAGGTCAAAGACGAGAATACATGGATGTGGACACTAACGATCCTTGGGGTAAACGATCCGCTCATTGCGGGGTGGGCACTAGGCTCAGGCTGTTAACTCGCTACTTGGGACACTGGCCTCCCTATCAGAGCGACTGATTCAAGTTCCAGTTACTCCACTTCCGACATAGTTCTGGGCTCCTGGCTTGGCCTAATTTAGGCATTTGCAGAATCAACCAGGACAGAAAAGATCTATCTATCAAATAAAATAATTAAAAACGTTTAATCTACTTGTTTAAACCTAAAGGAATTGTCACAAAAGCACAAGTATAAGAAACATTACACCAGAGGAAAGTCAATTTTTGAAGCATCATTGTGCAGCAATAACTGAAATATTTCCAAACCCTGTGTTATGAACTATATGTATGTGTTCTCCCAAAATTCCTCTGTTGAAACTCTAAGCCCCAGCAGGCTGGCATTAGGCGGTGTGGCCTCGGGGGGGGGGGGGGGGAATGATAAGGCTGAGAAGAGGTCTTGAGTGCCCCATGATGGCCTGGCACCAGCACCCACACACTCAGCTCCTGGCATCGGCCTGGCGCTTGGGGTTACTTGGGAAGTGAACTATAAATGAGAAGACCTTTCTCTGTCTCTATGTCTCTCATTGGGCCTTTCAACTAAATGAATAAATAAGTAAATGAGAAGATCTTTAAAAAGAAATTTGCCCAAACAAAAGAATCAGACATGTGAACAAGGCTGTGTGTATCAAAGTACTGTTTCTAGAGTGAAAAACTGGACATCACTTACATATTAACAGAAATGAAGAAGCAAGTGTACCACGATGCATTAATATAGTGGAATTTTGGCCGCTGAAAAATGATGTCATAATATAAATTTATTGAGTTCTTAAAACGCTGTGCTATATTAAGTGAAACATGGTGTAAAATTTAAAGCAATCCCATTTTTGTAATTTCTCATTTTTGTAAAGTTGAAAGTTTTATAACAGAAATCAGGTGATGTTAGCAAATGCAAGGCACTGAGAGTTTGGCCCTCAAGATGACAGAGTGCTTCTGGAGAGCGCACGTCCAAAGTCTTCAAAACTCATGCACTACGGATGTCACTTTCAGTCATTTAATCTCCAGCAGCAACTCAGTGTGCACGGAGTAGAGCTGTGACATCACTGTTCCCCACACGGGAGAACACACTTTGCCCTATTATCAAACAGCAGGCAATCAATCTACCACGCTTCAACATACTGGACAAGATAGATCCTTATGTACAAACAGCAGGGTTACAAGCAGTAGGTCCATTATGAGTCCATTACTGTAATCTAGGTGAACAAACACAGGGCTCACTGTGGAAACACACCAAAAACCAAAAGCGTTCTTCTTGTTATTCTGTACATTCTACAAAGAATAAATATAACATTTATAAAAATTACAAAGCATAAGGAAAACTATTAAAGTTTTTTTAAAAACAAACAAACAAAAAATCAAAACAGGGCCTAGCACAATAGACTAACGGCTGAAGTCCTTGCCTTGCACACACCAGGATCCCACATGGGCGCCGGTTCTAATCCCAGCAGCCCCGCTTCCCATCCTGCTCCCTGCCTGTGGCCAGGGAAAGCAGTCAAGGACGGCCCAAAGCCTTGGGACCCTGCACCCGCGTGGGAGACCCAGAAGAGACTCTGGGATCCTGGCTTAAGATCGGCACAGCTCCAGCCATAGTGGCCGCTTGGGGAGTGAATCAGTGGACAGATCTTCCTCTCTCCTTCTCTCTGTATGTCTGCCTTTCCAATAAAAATAAAGTAAATCTTAAAAAAAAAAAAAAACAACAAAACACAACTTTTCAATGATGTTACTGTGCTGAGCTAAGTGTATTCAATAGTTAAGCTCCCTATGTAGATGTGAGAAGTTCATTAACCTTACCCCTAAGCCATAAGTCCTCACTGAGGGAGTCTGCTAAGGCTCGTGCGCCCAGGTCCCCAACGAGCATGTTGCAGTTCAGGGTGACGCGCCGTAAGCCAGCCATGCAGTCGAGATCTGGCCTCCTGTAGCGGAGGCTCTCAGCCCAGGTTTCCTCATGTCTTCTCATCGACTGATACTTCAAAAATTTAACCAAAAGAAATTAGGATGCTTTGAAATAAGAAAAGAGGGGAACAAATTATGGCTGATTATATCAGAGCTTTATGCATATACACACATGCCAATTACACTTATACAATTCCAGCAGTGTTATCTAGGGGATTAAACAGTAGATTTTGGTCAAATCTATTAAGTGACCCAGATCCTAATCTATCGTTGACTAGTTATGCGATAGCTCATTAGTTATGTAAATTGACAATTTATAAGAATTTTCTTTTTTTAGGCCTAGCGCGGTAGCCTAGTGGCTAAAGTCCTTGCCTTATATAGGATCCCATATGGGCACCGGCTCATACCCCACCTGTTCCACATCCCATCCAGCTCCCTGTTTGTGGCCTGGGAAAGCAGCAGAGAATGACCCAAAGCCTTGGGACCCTGCTCCCGCATAGGAGACCCTGAAGAAGCTCCTGGACCCTAGCTTTGGATCAGCTCAGCTCCAGCCACTTGTGGAGTGAACCAGTGGATGGAAGATCATTCTCTCTGTATCTCCTTCTCTTTGTAAATCTGTCTTTGCAATAAAACTAAATCTTAAAAAAGAAATTTATTTTTTTCATACCAGTCAATTGGTTTTAAATTCTAAAATTACCAAGCTTCTGAATCCTGTAATTCTATCCTCTGGTGGTACCCAAACACTTGACTGTGCATGCCATAAGCAAACATGTTTGTGAAAATGTTTTCAGATGATTATTTCATCGACTTGAAAGGCAGAGTTACAGAGATAAGAGAAAAAGAGGCAACACAGTACAGAGTGATCTCCTATGAGCTGCTTCAGTCCAGAACACCTGCCAAGGCTGCAGCTAGGCCAGGGGCTTCAGCTGTGGCCGACGTGCGTGCAGGGACCCAAGCACCTGGGCCATCCTCCGCTGCTTCCCCAGACACGTTAGCACAGCTGGACGGAGGTGGGGCCACGGGAGTCAACCATGCACCTGCAGGGGATGCTGGCAGAATGCCCGCCCCAGGTAAACATGTTTTAATACAGACCTTGCTTAAGAATAAATTATAGGCAAGAAATGCTACACATAGTTAGCATACATTATAAACCATACAGAAAAATCAGATATTTTTCAAAAGATACCAAAACAAATCTATTATTTTTTTTCCTACTTTCATACTTCTTAGGATATGTGTAACATATTTAGAGACCTGAAATATCAAAGCCAGTTTGATATGCCTTGAAAAATTGCTGATTTGATGTTAAATTACAGATACTATCATAGAGGTATTTTATAATCAAGTCTCTATATTCATAAAGTAAATGCTCAAAATAGAAAATAGATTTCAAAAGAAAAAAAAAATCTTTCCACAGTTGGCCTTCTAAATCAACAAGTTCTGTATCCACGATCCAACCAACCAAAAATCAAAATACCCAAGGAGAATCTGCTCAGATCTTTTTCTTGTCGTTATTCCCTAAACAGCTACAACAGACATCACTTGCAGGGTATGATGTGTTGTTAAGTCATCAGCAATGATCCAAAGTTCACAGGTGATGCGCACAGGCTTTGTGTAAATGCTAGGCCACTTTATCTCCATAAGGGACTTCAGTACTCGCAGGCATCCATGGAGCTCCCTGGAACCAAGTCATCAGGGGCACCAGGGGATGGCTGCACATTCTGGAACAATGAAACACTCGAAGCTCCAATCACACGCAACAAAGGAAAAGTGTGTCATGTCTCTCAGAGTATACGGAGGGACAGACACTTGGAGCAGCAGCTCAACGCCCAACTGTCACGGTGGAGCGCCTGGATCTTCCCCCAGCTCCTGCACTTCTCATCTGGCTTCCTACCAAGGGGCACTGTCAGACAGCGGAGAACGACTCCAGTGCCCACAGGCAGCCAGAAGGAAATCCAGGCTCCTTAGTTCGCTCGGGCCCAGGCCCGGCTGCCGTTAGCACTTGGGGAGCTGACTGACAGTTGGAAAGCACTCCTTTTTTGCTTAGAAAGGATTAGATTTTTTTTTTAATTTAACAAACAAAGAATAATTGTATTAAAAAAAAAAACACAAAGAGAAGCAACAGGCAGGAGTTACACAGTGCTTATTAAATGCCATACACTATTTTATACAAACCAGTTCATTTAATCCTCAGAATGATATATGGGGATTTTCTTTCTTTTTTTTAAAATAGTAAAGGTAAAGATAATAATGGTCTCCTTTTGGCTTTGGTTTTCTTTCTACAGCTACTTGTCGTTTCCTGTTTTGTGCATGTCGGGGCCTGGGTCTCACCTTTCCACACAGCCAGTGGGAGATGAGCTGAGGCTCCTGGTGGCTCTAGGCGCTGAATCTCACCCATGGCTATGGCCAAAACCAGGGCGATTTTCAACCAGCGCCATCAAGGGTAACGGGTCTGCTCTCCTTTTTAAAAAGTTTACTTTTCTATCTGAGAAGCAAAGAGAAAGAGGCAGATGACAGAGTCAGCTTCAAGCCCTGCTTTACTTCCCACATGCTGGCAACGACTGCCAGGGCAGGCAGAAGCTGGCAGCTGGGAACACAGCTCAGGTCTCCCAGGCGGGTGGTAGGAGCTGTCATCTACTGCCTCCAGGACGCACAGGAGCAGAGATGGGACTCAAATCACGACCTCCCACGGGGGACGCAGGCAACCCAAGTGACCTCCCTGCCTGGGCAGACGTAGAAACTGAAGCACAGAGAGGTTAAGCAGTTTTTTCAAGGCAACAGGTTTTTTACCTAGGCACGTGGCTCCAGGTCCAGACCCTTGAATATTATCTGCCCGGGGGCCAGTGACTTGCTCTGAAAAGGTCAAAGGTAGCCATTTTCAGTTTTGCAGGCCATGCAGTTACCTTGGCAACTACCTGCTTCCCCAGGATAGGGTCAAAGTGGCCCTGAGAAAGCCTCATGCTGGGACCAGCATGCGTCGCACATACCCACCCCACTTAGGCATCCAATTAGGGTACCATTCCTTGTCCCATCAGACACTGGGAATGGGCAGGAGGTCTCTCTTTTACATCACATAGGGGCACTGCTTAGAGGGCCTAATCTCACCTCTCTCCCACAGGCACCCTCTGGGCCACTCATGATGCACACTTTTCTCTGTGTGTGTGTGTGTGTAGAGGGCATGTTTGAGTTCAAATGTCTGTTTATTACCTCGTGTTAAATAAATGCTATTTCTATTTGCATCCATCACTAGTCTCCATTTATAATTCTTAATCTCTATGTGAAGCAAGAACCTGGAATAAAAGCTCAAATTCTCATGCTCATATTAAAAATATTGTTCATAATGTATTTAAATCTAAGAAAAAGTACACTGCTTTTATTAGGCAGTAGGACCCCAAGCTGGAAACTGGTTAATTTTTCTTTCAATAAAACTAAAACTAATCACCAAAGACATCAAAAGACAAAAATGATTGCATGCTTATATCAAAACATGAATATGCTCCAAGCACACGGTATATTTTCGTGCAAGTTTGAGTACAAAGTCACCTTTAAGATCTTGGCCAGGTGATCTGCCCCCTGCCATGTCAGGTTACAGCCCGTGAAGTTGACTGTCTTAAGAGCCACAGAGTTCTTTATTCCTTGGCAAATTACTGAAAGGAAAAAACCCACAGACACAATTAAAAAAAAAAAAAAGAGCCCGCACAATCTTGTCAGTCTTGATTTATCCACTTTCCTCATAAAATCACTACCCACAACCTTCTGGATTGGGACATTGTAAAATGTTACCGACATTTCATAACAATAAGGTGTTATTCCACTTTATAGCAATACTTTCTCTTTAGATGCTAAAATTGAAAACCCTGAAGGTTACAAATTCATTCCTTACCACACAGAAAAGTACTACACACCTTTAGAGATGTTTCAAAGCACAGAACAATGCAGAGTGTAATATTCTTAGTATTTTCCTTCCCAAAGGAACATCCTGATCCCAGCTCTCAATCAACAATGTGAGTGTCAGGTATAATCCCAGAGTTTTTGGGGGTGCTATTTTATAGCATGGCATCTGATACTTTATAACAAAGCAATAGAAAATAATGAACCCTAAATTTTGTTTCCTCAAATTAAAATGCAGGCTTCCTTACCCACCCCTCCCCCCAGACCACTGTTTCAAACAATGAACCCGAGTTCTTCAGGACCTCAGTCAGTAGCCACCTTCTGTTAACCACAGATATAACCTATCTGTGGTCTCCCACTGGGCCTGCCCCCCTTTGAAGAGCTCCCATTGCACTCTGCATGTTGTTACCTTAGCACATACCATGGTGCAATAAAACTGCACCCAGATGCTACAACAGTGTAAAGACAATGATTATTTTCTCTATACATCAGCTATTGTCCTTTCCCAAACACTTTTGGAAGAGAACCCCTACACAAAATGGACAGACATAAACAAAGCGGAACATAAAACAGAGTATCATGCAGTTGGTACTTGTGTGATTTGTGACTTAACCCAACCTTAGGGGAAAAAATATGAGCTTGGAGAGTTGACGAGCTTTCCTGGGCCATGGGAGGCAGCCCAGACAGGGGCAGCAGCAGTGAAAGGGGACAGATGGCAACGAAGATGGCCCAGGCAGGTGGGACAAGGATTAAACAGGATTTTAACTCACTTTCTAAGCCTCCATCTCCAATTGGACAATTGGCAAGCGACAGGTGGACCAATGTGGTCGACTTATTCAATCCCTTCAATGGGGGGGAAAAGTAAAAAAAAAAAAATCGATGAGCTTTTTTTTCTCCTTTCAAAAGCAACCCCAAAATGTTTGAGGTCACGCTGACGACGGCTTACCTTTGTTAAGACAGTTAAGTCTCTCTCTCTCAGGACTAGTCCATTTAACTCCAGATTCCTTAGCACGCTTGAGGCACTCACACAGCCTTTAAGAGCTTTGCATAGCTGGAAGGTCACATCCTTGGATCTTATGGCAGGAACCCGACTTCTGCAAGCCTTATTGATATCAGAACCTAAAGCAAAGATAAGATGAATGGTTTCAAAGGCAAAGCTTGACATTAAAAACATCTCTGTGCTAAGGCACAGAAATGATCAATGCCTTTAAGACGACATATGTCAACTCAGGCAGTGGAGTATGACGGCTCAGCCTGCGTGCACAGGAGGAAGGAAGATGCAAATTCTGACGCCTACAAGATGGACCACAGAGGAAAAGCCTGCCGCCTGTTGGACACGGGCAACCGAGCAGGACAGGGTGGGGGGAACCAGAGCCAAGAGGCAGGGGGAGATCCAGCACACCTGGACAGAGGCGTTTACCTCACCAGACTACCACTGGCAGGTGAAACAAGGGTATTCCTGGCAGGCTTAAAAACAAAAAAAGCAGGGGAGGGACTCCCTGCCAGATAAAAGGGATGAACAAATAATTGCGCTTGCTTCAGATCACAAAAATATACCACCTTCCCTGAGCCCCCTGAGCCCTGGGCTGAGCCCAGTTCCAATTCCAGGGCCTCTGTCTGGAGCACAAGGTGGGCACTGCATAGTGTGCCAGTCCTCTGCAGCCAACACACTTGGAATATTTTCTTTTTTCTTAAAGATTTAGTTATTTATTTACTTACTTATTATTACTTTACTTATTATTACTTTACTTACTTATTATTGGAACATCACATTTACAGAGAGAAACATCTTCAATTTGCCGATTCATTCCCCAAGTAGCCACAACAGCCAGAGCTGAACCAATCTGAAGCCAGGAGCCAGGAGCCAGGAGCTTCCTCCAGGTTTCTCACACAGGTACAAGGTCCCAAGGCTTTAGGCCATCCTCAACTGCTTTCCCAGGCCACTAGCAGCACAAGCAGGGAGCTTGTGAAAACTCTCTTCTTTCCCACAGTGCTAGGGGTGGGGAAACTTTTTCTGCCAAAAGCCATTTGGGCATTTATAACATCACTCATGGGTTATACAGAACTATCCCCTTAAAATTAGCTGACTTTCCAAGTCCCGCCTCTGGCTGCCGTGATGGAGGCAGAGTGAGCAACTTCACACGTATCATGCAGGCCACACAGTCCCACCCCTGGCCTACCTACTGCCTTCCTCAGTTAAATGGGAGCTCCTTTAGGGCGGGGACCACCAGTCCCTGGTGCAGGCTTGAGCTCATGTTAAGGCTCAATAAGCTAACCCTGTGCCTGGAGCACTAGTGTCCCAAATTGATGCCAGTTCTAGTGCCAGCTGTTTTACTAGCTCTCTGCTTATGACTTGGGAAAGCAGCTGAGGATGGGCCAAGTCCTTCAGCCCCTGTACCCACACAGGGGACCCCAGGAGAGGCTCCTGACTCCTGGCTTCAGATGGGTTCAGTTCCAGCCATTGCAGCCATTTGGGGAGTGAGCCAATGGATGGATCTTCCCTCTCACATTGTCTCTGTAAATCTGCCTTTCAACTCAAAATTTTTAAAAAAGAAATAAAATGAATGCCACCACACTTTACACATTATGTCTTGCTTTAATCTCAAGAACTCACTCATCAGGGCATCTTAACGGCATTTTACAAATGTGGAAGCCATAGTCTGAAAAATAATTTCACTTAGGTCACACAGAAGGGCTTGTCTTAGAATCTGAAACCTAGGCACCTTTGAACCCCTGGATGTTCTCCGCTGTAGGATGCTACTTGCTAAAAAAAACTTTAACAAAAATCTGCCGTAATCCAAAAGAAATGAAGATTCAGATGGGAACACACAGGAGATTCCAAAAAGCTCTTGGAAAATTCCCATTATCTTTTCAGTCCATTTCCCCACAAACCTGCAAAGGCCACTTGCACACAGCAGCTGACAGTTCTTTGCACTCACACCTGTTTGTGAATGACCACAAAAGTGCCACCAGTGCTGATTAAGAATTTGCAGATCAATTGAACGGTGCTGGGTTTACAAATACAGGCTCTGCAAATAATCAAGTCTTAAAAACAAACAAACAAAAAAACAACAGCTATCCCTGGCTGGCAGGAGATAGAATTTTTTGATTGTTTCATTGTCTGTTTTTTTTTTTTTAACTGCTGTCTACTTTCCTGCATTAAGCCAGTTCACGGCAGAGGGCAAAGATTCTAAGCTTCCTAGTCCAAACCCGACAAAGGAACAGGGAGCAGAGGGCACTGGGGAGCAGGGCATCTCAGCACCCAGTCTAACAAAGGCAGCCCCAACGCGCCCGCACTCCACCCTTCCCCAGACGCCTGCCTGCAGCGAGCGCCTGAGCCCCGCAGGAAACCAACACGAAACGCCCCCTGCCAACGCCCCTTCCCCAGCCAGCTCTAGGGACGCCTCATTCACGCCTCGATGCTGACCAGCGAGACAATGCGAGCCTCTTTCTGCTCAATTCAGCAAACACAATCTGAGCCTCCATCGTGTGCAAAACGCTGCACCACATGCTGGAGAAGGAACACCTTTGTGTCCTCAACGATCTACTTGACATGCGCTCTGAATAAGTACAGAGTTTGTATTCCTGAATATATGGCCTTACATTTGAAAATGGTTCAGATTTGTAGAGCAAGCTACAAAATTCCTATACACACACATTTTAAACATGAACAAAAGGACTGGAATGTATTGTGTTCCCCCAAATTGCTTAATTCTACATCAGGCAAACTTAAAAAGTCACTAAGTAAAATATGCAACATCTGTTGGAATATTTAGTGCCATCCCTAACTGTGCTAAGCACTCGCTATAAGCCATCAAGACGGGGAATCGGCGCAATCACCATAAACGTGGGTCCATGCCCACGGATGCCAACCCTGAGGCCCCAAACAGAAAACCAGAAAACCCTGCACCGCAGCGCACTTGCAAGCGGGAATTACAAACCTGTTTCCCCAAGCCAGGGCTGGAAGAAGCTCTTGATGGAGATCAAGGGCAGATCTTTATTGATCCTGAGGGCGCTGAGGAGCGGCGTCCAGTCCACCACGCGGAGGCGGTCCGCGTTGAAGTCCAGCACGCCTTCCCGGAGGCAGGCGCGCACGGCGGGCAGCGGCACCGAGTCCTGCAGCGCGCACAGGTACTCGTAGTGCGAGAAGAAATCCGCCGCGCTGTCGCGCCGCACCTTCACCGAGTCGATCATGGCCGAGACCGCAGCCCCCGGGGACGCCGGCCAGGCGGCCTCCACCCGCACTCCGCAGGCACCCACGGCCCCCGCCGAGCGGCCCTAAGACGCAGGCTCCGAGTCCCAGGCTGGGCCGGCCGCCCCCGATGCCGCGATGCCGTGCTGCCGCGTCCCTTCCCGCGTCCCTTCCCGCGTCCCTTCCCGCCTCCCGGCCGTTGGCTGCCTTCTCATCACCCGGGCAGCGCGGGCCCCGCGGCCGAGAGGGCGGTACGTGTGGACGTCAGCGCGCTCGCCGTGCGTGCCCACGCCGACCACGCCTCCCCGGAAGCGGGGCCTGGGGCGGGGCGGCTGACAGAGCTCACAAAGCGGACAGGGCTGTCAGGGCTCCCAGGGCTCACAGGGCTCACAGGGCTCCAGGCTGGCAGGGCTCACAGGGCTCACAGGGCTCACAGGGCTCACAGGGCTTCGGGCTCACAGGGCTCCGGGCTCACAGGGTGCACAGGGCTCATAGGGCACACAAGGCTCACAAGGCTCACAGGGCTCACAGGGCTTCAAGGCTGACAGGGCTGACAGGGCTCCGGGCTGACAGGGCTCCGGGCTCACAGGGCCCACAGGGCTGACAGGGCTGACAGGGCTGACAGGGCTGACAGGGCTCAGGGCTGACAGGGCTCCAGGGACGTGGTTGTTTGTGGGGTGTGTATGGATTCCGGGGCGCCTGTTTGCCCTAATGGGTCAGGCAGCCGTTACGGTGTCCCCATTCCCGTGGTCGTGACGCGGCCTTAGGCCTGGCGTGGAAGACCCGGACGCAGCCCCGCTGCGCCCCGCTTCCCTTTTGGCCCGACCCCGGCTGTGGTGGGCGTTTTTTGGGGAGCGACCCATCCCGACGAGCGCCTTTCCCCTCCTTTCTCTTTGCCTCTCAAGTAAAATATGTTTTACTGCGTTTCAAGGGAAGGTGTGTGTGTGTGTGTGTGTGTGTGTGTGTGTGTGTGTGTGTGTGTGTGTGTGTGTGTGTGTGTGTGTGTGTGTGTGTGTGTGTGTGTGTGTGTGGCGAGAGGCGTTTTAAGGACGGAGCTAAATGCGTGAGGGATGTGAGGGCGCCCGGGCCTGAAGTGCCGCTCCACGGAGCCCCTGCGAGGGCAGGACTGACCGCCCGTCCCCTGGCGGCCTCCCAGGGGCTTGTGCCTACTGTTGTCTTCAAGTCATTCTTCATTTTTGTAGCCGCTACGGATACGGTTGTAGGCAAATTGTAGAGTGGTCCGTAGACTCGGTGTTATGTTGGGTTTCTGTAAATTGGCATTGTTTTCTTCTGAGAGTGAAGATGATGTAATGAAGTTCAGTTCCATGAGGACTCGCACTGTCTTAAGCATCATTATACACACTCCTTAAGTCTTCCAGAAGTCAATTTCCTGACGTTTTCATGAATACATTTTACAAAATGGGAAACTGAGGCAACGGGGCAGTGAGCAAACACAGCCCGGCGAGTTGAAGACCCGGGAGAGTTGGCCCTGGGCCTTGTGTCCAGCCCCGTTTGGATAGCTTGCTACTACCATGTCTGCATTCTGCATGTGCCAGCTTAACCATCAGCTCGCTGTCCTACGACTCGCTGGTCAGCAGTGACTTGCACATGTACCAGGCTGCAGTTAGAACACAGGGAATACTGGGCTATCCACTTAGCAATTACGGTGCCAGCTATAGCCATCATGCCAGTCACAACTGCAGCTAGCTGAGTCTGGGAGAACTAGGTGTTTGAGCTTTCATTCATCATTGCAGTGTCTGCTGCACGGGTAAGTAAACAGCATAGGCCACTGTGTTTCTTCTACCTAAATTATGGTTGGCTTTGCTAGGTTCATCCATGTTCACATGTAAACCTGTTGTTCATTTATTTTCCCTGTTGTAGGCAGTTCCCATGTAGGAACTTGGTCTATATATTTTTTCCAAAGCGCAGTATTCTTTCTTTGTTGTACACCGATTCTTAGTCTCCAGTATCCAATAATGTGATTGGACATTATTCTTACTTCTGTTGCTCACCCACTCTACGTGGTGGCAACTTATACATGAAGCTCAGGGAAGCCTTTATCATATTCATTAATATTTTAGAAGATTTATTTACTTGCAAGGCAGTTACAGAGAGAGGATAGACAGAAAAAGATATCTTCCATCCATTAGTTCCCTTCCCAGATGGTTGCAGTGTCTAGAGCTGAGCTGGTCCAAAGCTGGGAGCCAGGGGTTTCTCCTGGGTTTTCCACACGGGTTCAGGGACTCAAGCACCGTAGGCCGTCCTCCACTGCTTCCTCAGGCTATAAGCAGGGAGATGGATGAAGTGGAGCAGCTGGGACTTAACCTGGCACCCATGTGGGGTGCTGCTGCCATGGGCGGAGGACTAGCCTGCTACACCAGGTTGCTGCCCCCATATTCATGAATCTTTTATCATATTAATTTAAAATTGTTTTTTTTGTTTGTTTGTTTGTTTGTTTTTGGTCTGGGCTTGCTTAGTCTCAGTGTGACAAGACCGCTTTCAAGGTTTGCCTGATGAACTTGGTCTATTTCAATTTAATTATGGCTTCCTAGTAGCTTCAGTTCCTCTTTCAGCCTCTAGGGGTCTCCTCCACATGGCTCACTGATCAGTCGGCCTGAAAGTGGGCTCTGCGCATGCTCCTGGGATCCCTGCAAAGCCCAGCTCACACCTGGTCCAGTGTGAAATGTCTTGGCTTCCCTGTATGTGTCCAACTTCAAATTAGCATGCTTCACAGTAACAAAGCAGTGCAAGCGATGGGCTGTCTACTCTCGAAGTGTCTACTGAGGGCATATTTGACTGGAATATAACCAAATGGTACCCTTTGACCTCTTGTTCATAGTACTCTCTTCCTGGGCCCTCTGGTTAACGTGAAATCCAGACTTCTCAGCCAGCTCATTTTCCCACTGAACCACAGGGCTAGTGCTGTCTTCTCTGTGCTATCATGGATCCTTTCTGTGGCTGTTTCCAGAGCAGTTGATTGAGCCCAATCACAAAGAATAGCACATCATCTTACTGTAACTAATAGGTGATTTTTTTTTTCCTACTCGCTTCCCTATGGCTATGACAGTGGTTATTCCAAAAGTCCTCAACTCTTCTCTTGTTCCCATTAGACTCTTCCACGTCCCTACTTTCCTACCCAAAGAGAACATCTTTTATTGTAACAGAAGAAATGTTATGACACAACCTTCCTTGTCCTCGTTCCTGTAACTGGAGCAGCCTTCTGGTCCATGTTCGGTAACGCAGCCGCGACTTTCAAATCCTTTGTGACTTCTTGTTGCTGTTAGGGTGCAATGATGTAAAATCGTGCTGCCCTCCACGTAGAGCCCACAGACTCACTGTGTGGAGAACCGTGGCTGTGCCTCCAAGGAGCTTGCCTCAGCTCATAAAACCCATCCACATTAACATATTGCCTGACTCAGCAAGCATTCTTTTCATAACAAGACTTCCTTGATGAAAGAAGCAGTGTGCTGACTGACATTCCAGAATGCGCTCCTATCTCGGTGTGCACGGATCTCCAGAGTGCTTGTCCTCAGGGCACAGCTGGGTATGATCTTTTCGGTCTCATCTTGTACCCTGTTTGGTTCTCAGGGATGCAGGCCACACTGGCATCCTTGCAAGCCTGCCGGCTTACAATGGGTCTTCATCATGTGGTCCGCTCTGCTTTAAATGCCCTTCCCTTCAGCATGCACCTAATAAGCACTGTTCTTAGTTCATGTGTCACTTCATTAAAGGAACATTCCCTTCGCCGCCGCTCACCAAATCCCCCATCATGAACTCCCATAACACCCTGTACCTCTCACTCATAGCTTTTATCATATTTCACTTCCACTGTCGAGTAAATATTCACCTTATGCTACATAAGGAAAGAATCAAGTTTGATGTGGTCACTCTTACATTTGCTGTCACTAGCCCGTTACTGACAATATTTTGTTCAATGAGTAAATGAATGTACTCAATGAATAACCTGACAATTTATCCCTGACAGCGTCTCTTCCTTCTGTTTGTATTGTCATTGTGTCAGTTCCACCATTTATTATTTCACACCTGGATTACAATGATTACTTCAGGAAATAGTGTGTCTTCTTACGTTCCTGCTCTCTCACAGCCCTTATTATAACTCTCAAAGTGTGTTTGCTTTGTTCTACCATTGCAACATTCCAAAACCTTCCATAACATCCATTGCCCTGAGAGAACAAATTCCATCAAATTTAGACTGTATATAAGCCCATCCCTAAGCTTACTGTAGTCTGCTTTCCAGACTTTATGTCATGGGTCAAGTTGTCTGTACATCTTTGAGCCCTTCTAGTCATATTATAGCAGATAATATTACCCATTCTTCTGATGATCACACATTTCCTTCTCGGGGGGGGGGACCTTACTGAGAATCCAAGCAAAATATTCTTTCTTCCCCTTCTTGTGAACTTACAAGCATTTTAGTAGGTCACATCTGTAACTTCCGTGAGACACCTCTGTCCATCTTCAAGCCTGACTTCCATGCTCTGTGCAGCTCTCAGCAGGCTGTGACTATACCCACAGTGAACCTGATCAGTAAATATTTGGTGAGTGAATGAATAAGTGAATGGCAACATGTCCGCTGGCTCTTTTTCCTTTTCTACTCTTAAGGTCCTGTAGGTGGAGCTTTGTTTAGACAGTGTGCTGCTTTATAGCAACACATTGCCCAAGCTCACAGAATTCCAAATAGCTGCTAAGAGCATCCCTCCGCCTCCTTAGAACAGCCTGTTCTCTCTCTCTCAAGTGGAAGAGGGAGGAGCCAGTGTTTATGAAGTGCCTTTGTTCTTTGGGCAGTGAAAGTAGCAGGCCTGTACACTCAGTGAAAGGTCCGTATTGATTGTCATTTTCTCCTGTGAATAACTGCTGTCCAGAAAGATGTTCCAGTATAATTCTTCACCTGTTTAGATCTAGTATAAGCACTTTACATGCAAGGAGAAATCACACTGAAATATAACTTTGCATTATAGTTTTTAAAAATTGGGAGAGATAACTTTATGTTGCATTACCAAATTTATTTGGAGAACACTAACCCTATGAAATGTGTTAGGCAAGTAATAGGACTTTAATAATTCTCAAAATTTCTGAGCACCCAGTTGCTTCATATAAAGTCCTATGTAAAAACAATCTGGA